CTGCAGTCATATTTCTTAACTTACAAGTTGTATTTGATTTGACAGCTTTTATAGCAGTATCTGTCATTGTAAAGCGTCCCTAAAAAAGTAGGCGAAGCTACTGAGGGCTCTCTGGTTAGACGCTACTTAAGAAATTTGAGGTTGTGGTGGGCTGTCATCTATCGTAACCAATGGTTGAAGACTGGGCGACATGGCTCAGAATCACTCACAATAGTGTAGGTGTGTACACTTTTTGTCTTCCCTTAAACCGTGAGAATAAAATAACTGAAAAATTCCCATTATTTATTAAAATTACTTTGTACTTTTTCTCTACGAACTAATTCTTCCTTTCTGTACTACATTCTTATATGCAATCTTTCTTTTACATATTACTACCATTAAAGTAACTACTATGAATTCGTTCACCTTGTTGTGCTAATGAAGTGTGGCAACTTGGACCGATACATATATGTGCCTGGTCCTAATTTGTGGCTGAGTGACTGAGCTGTCATCTTAATTGCCAACGTCAATTGCTGTTCATCAAAGCTACCCATTTTGTCGGTCTTTTCATAAAAATGCTTTTAAAGATAACACTATTCATCTGACTTTGGAGCTTAATTCTCTATCAGAATATTCACTTAGCTAAGAAAAATTAATGAATGTATAAAACAATAAACTCATTTCAAGATTATCTTGTTTAATTGTATTTAGTTGCTTTTTTATTATTAGTACTGATAATAGCCATTAAATTGAAAATAGTTTACACCAATAATTGAAGCAAAATAACTTTAAATTATACATCATTTAGTTTTCGTTTCTTTCTAGCTGAACTATGAAATATAAATAATAATAAGCAAAGAATATGTAAATAACTAAGAATAGATATATTCATCACGATAGATGTTGTCACAGTAAGAAGTCCTCAGTAACGCTTGTGCATTATTGCAATGAATTTCTTTAAAACATGTATTTGGATTTACATTTATTCAAAAATTAGATCTCAAACAACGTCACTTTTGTAAAATATAAATTGTAATAGACACCTAACCAAGTCAAAAGTAGTAATAAATACTTCGCTTTATGATGATTTAGTTCAGTTCCAACTACTCTCATAAGATATAAATTAGTTATCTTGGTTGTATTTCGACATATCCACTACAAAGCCTTAGTCTAGGGCATGAACTGTTAAAGAGTTCTCAATTTAGACGAGAAATCTGATCATTTTAGACATCCTCCAATAGCTATGAAGTCTAAGTCATATAGTACCGATTGATTGGCATTCTCAGTAATTCTTCCCACATTTTTAAAATTTTCATTTTAGGTTTGGTTAACCATAGCATTACTAATCAATCGTCTACTTTATTTGAATTTGGGCCCACATTCCAAATCATTGTGTTCACAACTTGAATCCGTGAAAATCGTAATAGCGGTGTTTTTCCTATGTATTGCTTATATGGGATGCAAATTTTTTGAATATACTTATGTGGAATATCCAGATAAAAAGGTTGTACGTGTTTTGCTCACTCAACTTGGCAAAACGGAGATGTTTCGGTAAATCAAATTGAATATTCACTTCATTTGATTGCTCTAAAGAATTTTTTTCAAAACTAAAGTTTACAGCGCTTCTTACGTGAAGTAATTTTTTGATTAGATTATATTTTTAATATTATAAGTCTCTTGTCGTATTGTGACGCGTTGTATCTTCTAAATGAATATATTTCATAACTCTTTGTGGAAATATTTTGTAGTGAATACACATGATTAATGCCCGCAAATCCTCTGGTACGACCAAGGGTTGGGAAAGTTAGCTCTCCCTCTCGAAATACTCTCACATGGCCACGCATATACAGTCACCGCCAGGGAAGTCCTACTCACTGCCTTCACGCGATGGGAGTGTTGTTCACGAAATTTAGAAGATGAAAAGCGAATGTTCGGCGCTTTAAATGGGTTAGTGGATCTGGAAGATCCACCTTGTAGAGTGGGAAAACCCTGATTCCAAACTGACGGGTACCCGGGCAGTATCACAGCGCACACACAAATCAAGTGACTTGTGAGGCACATATGTATTCGGTGCCCTTTTTACCGATATTTATGTGTTCAAATAAATGAGTAAATAACGCCTCATATTTATTGTCAGTGGCAATTGCTTATAATCTTTTTTCTTCACAGTTTGCACAACGAATGATTCAAGCAAATTGAAGTGTGTATACATCGCTAAAATGTATTTTGGACCATTACTAAGGGAATTCATTAAAGCAGTTAATACTAATACCTTGTATTATGTCAATTTTATTATCCATAAGGAGACTAAAAACATCGAAATCGAAAAATGGGCGTTTCAATATCCTTTTATAATGTGTGACTTATGTTAGAACATTGTCTTCAAAATGCTTTTAAATTTTTTGTGTACTATCAAAAACCTTAGTATTTATAACTGAGAAATTGATGCATTTCAAGAAAATTTTGTTTTTCACACAAACAGAATGAATGCATAATCTATCACACTAAATAAGATTATTACAACTTCAAAAAAGAAATATGCTGAAATGATGACTAATTGAAGATTCATAGCAAAATAAAGACTAAATATATTTAAAACAAGTCAATATATGTTGTATTTCGATGTTGACTTTCATAAAGTGATTCTTTATAGAGACCTGGGTTGTTGACTCCAAGAAAAGCTGTTTAACAGACATTAGGATCTGTTATTATCGACGAGCAGTACATGTATAAAACTTGATCTCTTAGTTAGTTAAAGGCTGCTCTGTTGTTATTGTGACATCCAGTTAATTACGAGCAGAGTAGCAAAATAAAGAAGAAAAGTCATTTAGATTGATCATGATAAAACAATGTATCGAAGAATATACCCGTGTTATTATTACACAGTTAAAGTCTTACTACAATAGTACATCAAGAAATGTGCGAAACAAAGTGAGACGACAATATTGTAGAGAATTAGAAGATAGAAATAGTAATTTCAATAGATTTGGAATTAAAGGGTTTATAAAAACGTGATTAAAATAGATTCCTTTTGGTCAAGAAACGCCACTACACTGTTTATAAACAGCACAACAGAAAGCAATGGTGAGATTAACATCATCTTCTGTTATGAGATGTCATAACTTCTGAAGTTACCTGGTTGGATGATTTTTGTGAATTATTTAGGAAGCCAGGACTGTTTCTTATCCTAGTGTCTTGTCATAAATTAGCTTTCTGCTTTTTCCATCCATCCGAGGTTTTACATACTCGTCATTAAGTGGTGAGTGAAAATGATTGACTATCGAATTTCGTTAGCTGAGTACTTCAGTTCAGCCATTAGACAAACTGATACCACACTGATGTTCAGTAGGTCCGTTGTTTAGTTTTTGTAGGTTGAATATTTCCTAGCACTCAATTTTAGTAAGTGTTTATCCTCGAAGAAAATCACGGTCTTTATATCTCCAAATTCACATCGTCAGTTTTTTTGTACTGGATTTGTACCCCAACTTATAACGTATACTAGTTAAATAAGCTCATAATTAACAAGCCATACACAAATAGTATAAACAATTAAATTCCTGTTTAGTGATCAAATCTTTTTTAATGTTTTAAAAAAGGGATATAATGGATAATTGGTTAAAAGTCCCGCTTGAAATGTTTTTACCGTATTTGGCTTGTGGATTGTTAATAACAACTATCGTTTTAAAAATGGTAAATTTACATACATCAAAGTGGAAGGCCGTAGCTAGCTTATGCAATGAAACTGCTTGTGCGTGTGTCTGTCGAACAGGTGTCTGTGGTAAAGAATGTCGTGAAGGTGTAAAATCGGAGGATCTATCTAAATCCTGGTCATCTGATTTTAATAATCAAGAAAAATCTGGAAAAGTAACAAATACAAAACAGTCTACTCCTGACAAGAATGATACCCTTCAAAAATCATTTACCAGTACCAATCGTAATAACGGTAACTTCACAAACTTGGATCCAATTGAACAGGAGTTATCCTATCTTTTCTTCCAATTGCCTCAATTAGACGAGACACGTGAAAATGCTAATGTTATAACAGCAGTTTGTATTGGATTAATTTTGTTGATTTGTAAAATCCCAAAATTTTTACTACACGTAATTTCAACTGAGAATTACATCACTTATGATCCAGAAGTATTTAGAATGATAAATCAATTATTGGATACAATGTTTGCAGCTTGTAAACCAATGATCTGTATACTAGTTGGAGCACATTACAGACAAGCTTTGACAACACCTCCAACATGTTGTCTACCTAACGATATTGATATTAACACCAATACAACTACTGTTACTAACATTAGAGGTGATGCAGTGATAATTGAAGACAATAATCATGAAGCAATAGTGAATAAGGAGGCAGTAAACTACCAGTCAGTTATTACACACCAGCCAAAATGAGATCAGTTAATACTAAAAATGTCATATCCAGGTAATTAAAACTATTATAATCGTGAATTTCACGGATTATACGAGCAAAAAAACAACCAAAGGATATTTGTTAGTTTATTTCTTTTGATTATACACTATTCATTTAATTTAGCATTGATTCATGTGACATGAAGTAGATAACTTACCTGAAGTCATTTTGTCATATTTCTTTTTGTTGCCATACTAGTCATATAATCAACACAGATTTGTTGTTTTCTTCTTTATTTGATTTATCACTTTAATTCCGATCCTCTAGTCCATTTTGTTTTGTGATTTTAAGAGGACATGTACGTTTTCACTGTCCTGTGTTTATATGATTTTCTTGCTGATTTCAATTACTATGGATTGATATTTGATAACTATAATTTTCTATTAGCAGACAACCAATACAAAAATGGGCCGTTTTTTATTTAGATTAAATCACGTTTCTGCGTTCAAGAAAGTAAAACACTACTTCCCTCCTTAAATAATTTAGCTATTTTGGAATAACCTATGACAGGCTAAGCACTCCACTTTCAACACCTCGTCTACCGAAATTCTAGAACATAGACAATACTAATGACGTAACTGTCTAGTTAATATAATATAGTTGGTTTATATGTAATCCCTTAAAAATAAAACTTAATGATTTACAGCGACGCTCATGAAGGATTTGTTCACTAGCATATTTGTTACGTCAATTCATGTTCGGAAAAAATTAGCATTTTGCTAACTATTCTGAAACTTTATTAAACTTATCCTAGCCAGCATAGCACAATGGTGAAAAATTTAATTACCAGGAGTTTTAATCTCATGACAGCGAAAGAACACCAACCGACTGAATTGAATGTAATATTGTCTACACTTAGAGCGAACAAATTCCCTAGTTTTTAAAGAATATTGTTGGAAATAGAAGAAAAACCAAATTAGAGTGTATTCCAAAAGAATGGAAGAACACTATGGTCATCCCACACAGTAAAGAAACACCGGAAGCAATTAAGAGGATTCTAAACAAACATAATATGATAGTTTATATTCGGGTCAATAATACCATAAGATCAGCGCTAATGAAAGTTAAGGATAAGTTTCCCAATGACGAACAACAGGATGTTGTATATGAAATCAGTTGTCATAATTGTAATGCATTTCGCGTGGGAGAAACATCTAGACAGTTGAATATAAGGTTAAAGGAACACAAACAGTATTTGAAACATATCCCCAAATCCTCGGTTGATCTAAAGAATAGGTCGGCGATAGCGTTACATACGTTAGAAACAAATCCGACTTCAAAGGGACCAAAATGCTTCATACCGCTATAATGTTGCTTAGATTGACGCACAAAATAAAATATATAACATCCTGACATGGATCTTCTACATGTTTACTATTTCGGCTAATATATATGATCATTTCTTCATTAGTTCGTTTCTTTACCATGTGAGCCTTATTTGAGTCATGAATATGCCAACTAGTATTTATAGTCTAAAGCTCGAATCGACAAACATAAATGAGAGAAGACTTTTGAACAGCAAATAATTCTATTTGTGATCTGTACACTATAACAATGAATTTAAAGCCTGCTAATATACCATCATGAGTAAAGTGCATATAAACATGTGAATGTTTAGTAAAACAGTGGTAGTAGAATGCTGTCAAAAAAGTACTGTACGCATAATTAAAGTTCAAACAATTTTTTTACACATTTAAGATACACTATAACAACCGAAATTACTTTGATATACACGACTTTCGGATTCCAATTGATTCAATAAATGTTTTAATGCATTTAAGGTTATGCGTGTTAATTGCAAATTATCAAGAAACGACCGTTGTCGAATACTGTGTAGTATATTATGCAGTGATATTTCTTTATTTATGCCTAAAAATGAAATAAAAAGAAGTAGAAGTTCGAAATAATACTTGAAAAATTGTGGAATAATGGCTACTTGGTGAATACTCTCTTGCGTTTCCCGAAAAATTTTCATCTAATAGTCTAGTTAGATATATATGCATATCAAATAACCTACTGTGGAAGAAAACAATTCAGCTTCCAGCTAAACAGGAAATTAGGAAAGACGCTGGAGGTGGGTAGGGCATACATTTCGGAAATCACCAGACTGCATCACGAGACAACCCAGAAGGGTGGAGGAAAACGAAGGAACACACTGCGTCGAGAAGTGGAAGTGGACATCAAAAAGATGAATAACAACTGGGAAGGATTGTCCAGGACAGAGTTCGATGGAGAATGTTAGTAGGTGGCCTGTGCTCATACACGAGGGGCAACAGGCGTAATTAAGTAAGTAAGCATATCAAATAGGTCGATTACCCTTCCTAGATTGGGAATTTTGTTACAAGCAACCTCATATCAGAATGAAATTCAAACCAAACCCTGTATAGTGTTATCTATAGGGTTTAATCTTCAACCATATGTATATTTCATCGAGAAACTGACGTCTAGATTTTTTGTTTAACTGTATAAAGCGAAATAGGATATCAATAATCTTTTTTACTTAACGGCTGAAGAATATATTTTTGGTTGGTGGGAAAAGTGCGAATTTTGTGATTATATATTTTTTTATGACTCAGTTGCTTAGAGCCCTTGTGCAAACTGAAATGCTGAAAGCAATAAAGGTACAGGTAGAAAACTATTTTTTATCACAATAATAGACGAAAAATGATAGATATCAAACTTAGTTATGTACACTGATTAAATGTAAAGACTGTTAATTCATTAAATGCCTTAAACTTTAATATTAAAACCACTGTCTGAGGTTTCCATGAATCGCGAAAAAACCCTTTCAAGCATGGTTGAAGCAAGTAATAGAACAGTTATATGGACTTTGTAGAAAGCTATCTCAGAATGAAACAATGATGTAATTCACAAACAGTATATGTAGCAATAAAAAATCGACTATCGTAATGAGCAGTACAAGCTATTCTGGAATTTCTTACACACTTAAAAACCTTAATCAGGATGAAAATATTTAAAACTGATTGTCATACATGCTAACAATAATCACCATTTTATTACGCAGTTCCGATTACATTGACTGATGATTAACAACATAAAAATTACAATGCATGCAGAAATTACCTTGAGAAAAAATTATCCCATAAACAGCATCGAGTAATTTCTTATTCTCTTGAACAAACTAAAATTCAGTGAATTTGTAAATGATAAAAATTTACTTATTACAAACAAACTAGCCGTTTATGAACATTAACACCGAAACCCTACGCTAGTCAATTACTGAGTACAAAATAGTTATTGCTTTATCCAATGCCATAAATCTAGAGTAAGGAATTCTCAGGAAAAATATGGAATATTCCAATAAATTTCAGTTTATAATCTATTTAACTTATTGCTAATCAAGACATACTTTTATATTACATTGAGCTAACTCCGATTTGATCGTATCATGATGTTAACGAAATATACATCCTGGCTACCGTCGTATTATAATTATCGACTTAATTCGCATTAGAGAATAACGGAATAGGTGAGTAATTGATATGGTCGTAATGTAACTCAAGGAGAATAAGTAGATTGGTCTACAAGGAAGCTAGAACAAGCCATATGGGTTTGGCATAGTACTAGGCACTATAACACCTTGAAAATTTCCAACAGTGAATGACCGCTATTCATCTTCAATAGAGTTTTGTGGACAATTTTTACTGTTCGGATGTCTTTCTGAGAACATTGGTACTCTAGTTAAGTAGAGTGTGGACTTGTACGTGGTAATAGTTGAGTTGCATTTTACTATTTTATATGGAAATTCCTAGACTGTACGAACTTGGAATTGTTTTCGTGGCCGAAATGATACAAAGGGTGAACATCAATAACATTAACTCAACCATTTATATGTAAAATGATAATACTAATGATCATTTTTCGGCAAACAGATGTCAGTCGACGTACAAGTAATCATAGAGATGAATCAAAGTGGATCCATGGTACGTTCATTTTTCTTAACACAAACCCACGAAAATACAAAGATAAATTAGGTAGATAGATTGTTAGTACTACAAAACAACTATTGCTAAGCGAGTCAGTCTGTTTTTGTTACTGAAGTTTGATGGTTCCAACAGACCGGTCACTGTATCATGTTCAACGCTAAGCTGATAATAGTAGGCAACTCAATTGCCCTCTTTGTCACATATCTGTGACAATCGGCTTTCAAGTAATGAATCATACACTAAAATACTACTTTCAAATCTCACTTCTAATAATGCAGAAAAACAATATGAACGACTTATTGTCTACCAGAATCTCAGTTTTAACTATTTAAAACTTGACAAAAATACTCGTAACTTACATAATAAGTCCGCATACCCCCAATAGATTGAGTAGCTGGAAAAATCCAACCCTCAATTAATAATCGTTCAATCAAACTTGCAACTATAAGTTGTAGCTTTTTAGGATTGAGTACTTTATTCTCAGCTGCACTACTCTGCTCACCTTCATCAACTTCAATGAAACTTTGTCGAAGATAATCCGTTTCAGATTCATCATATGCCTTAGATTATCAATGAGATAAAAATAGTGCAAAAATGCAATTTAACGATAAAAAAAAGAATGATGGAAAGGTAATTAATCAATTTATAAACAAATATAGACATCAGGGGAAAAAGTTTTATGAACCTACCATTGAGGGGATTAGTAATACAGACCGTAGAATATCAGAACATGCATTAAAGCCGTATGAAACTAGAAATCTATCTTGACTTCAACGAATAACTAACTATATTTTGTTTGAATTTACAACAGTAACAACACATGAAAGTGTAAACAAATAACAATTCGATAGTATACAATTTTTAGGTGAAGAGTTTGCTAATAAAACATATATTGTTAGCAAACAACAGTTTAATGAGGAGCGGAAATGTGATCATATGGTTGTATCAATCAGTTCAAGTTTAATTGGAGCTACATCTAATAATAATGTCAAGAGATGTGTCAGCTATCATATTAGAGATATACAAACAGAATGTCACGAAAATACTAGATAGAGATCAAGAAATATTCCATTATATTGGATTAGAAAATCATTTCGATAAATGAAACTTGTGAGCAGGAGTGTGGATGCTTTACATGAGTTGTGGGTGATAGTTTCATTATGTTACACAGTTTGAAGCGCTCTCGAACTTTTCATTAGTATAATATGCACTAAGTTGTGGCGTTCGTTACGTAATGTATCTGGGATTTCCTTGATAATGTCTTTAAAGGAACAGTTTGATAATATTGCAACAAACGAATACGTATGAGAGGGAGATGCTTCCAAATAAGCAATTCAGACATGTTCATGAAAACAAAATGTTGCAAGCAACACATAAATGGCAACAAACTGTGACTAAATTGATAAGTCTTCTAACTGAACGCTAGATTCGGTTGCTAAGCTCGGTGAGATTATAATTTATGGACAACCTTGAGCGACGCTGAAGTGACCATGAGAGTGGACACCTACTGATCAGGACTAAAAGAGGGTCATAAAGCAGTTAGAATTCTCATTTACAGTTGATGGTTAGGGTTAAAATTAGATTTAGGGTTTTCATCACGAAGTGACATAAGCTATAGTGCCAAAACTCTGTTTAGCCAAATGTATGGATGATTTTCGCGCCGAAATTCGTTACTCCTTATCTTATATCTGATTGTTTCGTTAATAAATTATAGATCCACCGAAACACTTTACTCCAAGGTTCGATTATGTACAGAAGACCTGGGGTATTCATAGCGTTTAAGATTACCTTGGGCTTCTGGAAAATTCTGGAACGCTAATAGACATAGTAACAGTAAGGGTGATCATCCAATCAGGAACGCAACATGTGACTTTCCAGCAAAATTTTTATTGAATGCTGATGGGATAAGAGGTTTTCAGAGCCTTTTTGGTTTTTTTTGAGGAAATTTCTGCATCACTCCAACACAAATACATATTTATATTGAAACCTATATTCTTTTTTGTTATTCAGTAGGTTTGTTGCTTGAAAACCTAAGAGTTTAATGATGTTGAAATGCTGTTCAAAAACTTTTTCAAGGATTTCTAGTTTACTTTCCTCAATTATGGTAAGTATCATAAACAAGAATGTTCTACCAATCCATGAACTTCCTTATCAATAATCTGAGCTACTTATGGGATTAAAATTGACTGACTTGTTTACTTTAGGAGTTTAATATCACTTAATAAAATGGTTCAAGTATATATCATAATGGTGTAGATCCATTTATTCTCCACGTGTTAATTAACAATAATTCATTATCTCTTACATGTATTTATTGCACCCAAACGGCATGGTACGTCCGAGGGTTGGGAGAGTTAGCTCTCCCTCTCGAAATACTCTCACATGGCCACGGGTATACCGTCACTGCTATAGAAGTGAATGTTCGGCGCTCTAACTGGGTTGGTGGATATGGAGGATCCACCTTGGAGAATGAGAAAACCCTGATTCCAAACGAATGGTGTACACGGGCTCCAGTATCCTGAAGGAACAAATGGCGTATGAACCAATTAGTGGTCACCGGCTACCATGGGACTACACCTCCTAATGTTGCTTCACTGCCTTGTGGATCAGACTTCTAGATTAAAGGCTCGATGAGTGACTCCCTAAAAAACCATCTGCCTCGACTTGGGCGCCCGCCCGGACAGTGATTTAATAGTAACTACTTTATGTAGCGCATATATATTTTGGTGCCCCTCTGTGCTAATGTTTAAAATGAATAAATATATCTTCAGATAGTCCAGAGCTCATAACCCAAACACTTGAAGACTTATAAGATCAAGTTCATTAGCTTGACGGTTACCATTTAGATAAATTTGCGTTCATAAAAATGGTACCAAAACATCAACAACACAAAGGAAAATACACACACAGAATCCCAAGTGACAGTATCAGAGTCCGTACACAAATCAAGTGACTTGTGTGGCGCATGTGTATTTGATGCCCCTTTGTATCAATATTTGTGTTCAAATAAATAAACAAACATTTTATTATATCCTTTCCATTGACTTTACTATTTGGCTAATCTAAATAATTTCAGGCATCTAATCTTTTACACGTATTAGGCTGCTTAAAACTGTTTTTTATAAGAAGTACATGGTTGGACACTACATTTTTCTTCTACTTTCTTATTGACTCAAATATTACTGAGTAATTCTGTAACTTGTTTATGTATAGAAATGACAGAATAATCCACTTCTAAGAATACTTGCTAACTGGCAATGTCTTAGTTCCTAATCAAACTAAACTAATCACATGCAGAGACACTTCGTTATGACTTCATTAATTTACTCTGTTCGTTTATAATAAAAACACAGATTCGTTATTCTAGGCTGTAACAGAGATTGTTGAATTTAAGATTTCACATCACAGGCTGACTTCAATTAGGCAACCACTAAAACCAGAAAATACTAAACAGTCGTTTTGTCCTACGTAGTATGAGACGAATATATCTAATGGAAAGGAATGATGGTCAAGCAATATAGTGAATTGATTGAAGTTAGAAATAAAAAGCAATGAATACGAACTCGGCGTCTAAAAATTATGTCCTTGTCCAAAGACCTAGAGGTCCTGGATACTTTTATTAGTTGTCTATCCCAAATCAGTCTGAAATGAGAAGCTACAAAAAGAATTGTAATTAAAGTAACTTACCATAATCAAAGATCTCCAGTTTGCTGTTACAGATTCAACTATTTTCGGATGTAAACATAAGTCTAATTTGGTAAACAATTGGACATTATCCTGTACTAGGATTCTACAACATTCTGTTACAAGTGAATTCGCTAAATTAACCTATGAAATAGAAAACAAATACAGGAAATGCCGTCACTGGGTTTGACTTATTTACATCGAATATTAAACAAACGAAATACTATTTTGGGTCTTTGAACAAAATTGGCTTATAGTTACATTTCTTCTAATATTCTCGTTCGATATAAACAAGTTATATCTCACTCCATTAAGATCTTAACTCAAGCTAATTACAATAGCATTCAGCTTTTTTCAGACAAGGGAATAGAAATACTAACAGCAATAGAATAATTGAACATACTAAATAATTTGTTTCTTTAGTTTAATTACATCTAATTAGATGTACTCTAACGTGTAAACATGAAAACTATAGGTCAGTTAACTACGGAGTTTAGAGTTGTCGAGTTTCACGACAAAAAAATTCTACACTTGTAATATCCAAATGAGTAAAAATTTATATTTAGGATGCATCACAACTTTATGTGAGTTGCTTTTCCAGAGTAAATAAATAAGTGAACTAAATCAATATAAATTTAAATAGTTACGAAGGTATAAAGCAAAGAATATTCAGTGCAATCGAAACAGGTTTGATCAATCCGATGTCATGTCATTCCAATCAAGGTGGCTTTTTGTGAAGCAAGTTTGTGTATTTATGTGTATGTTAGTGGGTGTGAAATTAATTTTCTACTCATTGGGGTATTACAAATATATCACTAATTTGATCATTAACAATCTAGTGTAGCGTTTGTTTGAAATTTTAAACTAAGCCTTGTTAATGATACTGTAGAGTTTCAGTTAACACAACTTAACCTAATTATCTATACAACTAAAAGTGAAGATTAACTAGATACTTTGAATATTATCATAAACTGAATAATCAGACATCTTCCCATTTCATACATCCTGATCTCTTAATCAATTTGAACAAAGCAAGAACACGATTTACAAAATAACATGAATTCATCATATTTCAAGACTTCTCAGCAGCTGCAAACGTCCTGAATTTACATTATTATTAGTATGAACAGCACATACCATAATCAATAAAGTTTAGTTTGAAACAACTTAGGAAACAGAAAGAAACAACATATTTAACATAATAATGATTATTTAGTATTTGTATGTTAAAGATGAAGTCAGATAAAGAAGGGCTTAAATTTGTAAATGAATTCACGACCTACAATCTTAAAGTAATAGGTCTGCATATGAGCTGAAATCTCATTATGATCTACAAAGGCTATCTTGAATTCTATTGTAAATCAAACGTTTTTGAACCATGTTTATTCACTTGAAATAAGAACCAACAAGTATTTTGTTTGTTAACTCAAGTTATTCCAGATAAACTTAATACTAAGAACTCTAAATAGTTGAAATTTTAATAAAATGAGTGATAAATGATAGGAACAAAACCCACCACATGAGATTTTTTTATATTTTCTGCGACAACACCAGGATCATATGGATTTGAGTAAATTTCTTCCTGTAAACGGTACCTGTGAATTATGTGATGTAACAATTCAATTTCCTCCTTGATTGAACCTGTGAATCAAAGGAACACAAATGAGAGATTAGAAAGAAATTGTGATTTCTGTGATTGATAAAAAAGTTATTGTGGAAAAAAGCTCGAAAATGCATACAAAAGCGGGACCCTAACCTACAGAGATTTGTACCTTATCAACCTACTGAGTCTTTACTTGTGAATTGATCGACTGCATAAATTGCCACATGATTGAAATTATTAAATCATTTGGTTTTACTCTAGTCTTAAAACATCCAATGTCAAAACCCCAGAGTAGGAACTTTTAGATCTTAAACAAGAAACTGTTTCAACACTTGTAAACATGTGCCGTTTCTGAATTTTGACTCAGTTGCCCAGAGTTTCAAGATCGTTTTATACTTCCTATTCAGGGGGTTCGTTTTTTCTTCTAGAACTGAATTCTACCTAGTCATTTTTATTAATACTGCAACTACGATTACAGTTTTTTAAATTACTTTATGAACATCACTTATATTTCCCTTCGGACTGTTATGAAATGGTTGTGCTCATAGGAAGTATTGGAAGATAGTTTTTTAACTGACCTTGCGCTCAATCCATGTAAATGTCGAACCATTAATTCCAACCTTGATAACAAAATCAATCAAGTTCACATGCAAAAAAGGTACGACCCAAAGTCCAATATATGATCTTATTTGAAAGCGAGTTATTCAAAAGAATATTATGCTATGATGTTCTCCTTGTTAGTTTAAACGATCAGTTATGAGTCTTATGAAAGAATTTACAGAAATGACCGATAATAATGAACTTACGACAGAAATAAGTATTAAGCTTTAGCTTTCCACGGAAGCATTTCAAACGACCTCTAAGCTGTAATATTTGGCCAACATGTAAGTTGGACGACTGTTCAGCTGAAGATGAAATAGGTTGTGACTTGCATGATAACTTAACAAGTTGCTCACACAAATAATGCTGTTCAAAATCAAATGAATTTTTTGTTGTTGATAATACATTAAAAAGGTTTGAACAGCCACGACGCCATATTGTGCAGGTTATACAACCAGTCCCATCGTCCACTAAATATAATAAATAATAAATACTATTAGAGACTAATAGAATACTATTTACAGTAAACCCAACTTAGTAAGTACATACGTATTAGATTCAAGCCTAATTGGATATCAGTTAATTAATAACCAACTGCTTAGATCGGAGTTGATCAAAATCATAAGCTTATGGCTAAGAGAAATTTTAAACTAGAATTGGAATGTTCATTCAGGAAAACTTACCCGGTATCTCATGTTAATCTGAAGTTAACTTTAGTTCAAGGGGATGAGGTGACTAAATTTATATATTTTTGTCATCTTTGAATTACATTTTATCTTAGATGCAATACTATTTGACTACTTAAGAAGGAGAATCCAAACAAACCCGATCGATCGATTAAGATTTTAAGTAAAACGGTTTAAAACTAGTTTTCAAGATATTCAACCTTGTATTATTTTACGCCCATTGTTTGTTTTCTATTCACTTTCATTAGTTTCTTAGTACCTTGAGTGTTTTATCGTTTTCATTTTTTCCTACAACTGATTTCCTAATATGATTTTATGGAATAAATTGAAGCAACACAAATTTGTGATAAGTTAAACACTACTTATGACCAGCTGAAAAACCATAACATAGTCTAAGCTGAAATAATCAAGTGATTAATTAGGTATAGATTAAAATCCTATAATAGGATTTTTCGTTTTCTGCATAGACAGTATTGCGAAATGCAGAAAGCAACTAAAAATAAAATATCGCACTCACCGGGTACTTGGGTATGAGTTACAATCTACGGGTGACGGCTAAAGATACTACCCGGCTAACCAAACCGAAGCAGGCGAGAGAGATGGTTGAACCTCAGACTTAGAGGATAAAAGTTGAACGCCTCAATCAATAAGTTACCGTCCACTTACAAAACTTTACGCAATTAATATCTTTTAAGTATTAATAACAAACTTAGTAATTAAAAATGTGAATTTGCAATGATTTGTAGCTTACAATCAACAATAAAAAATCTCTCGCGTTCGTAAACAGTGCGCACTATTCCCACAACATCAACAAACAATAGCCATCTATGACCGAGACGGAAAGGACCTATCAAATGAATACAGAAAATAACAACAATAACACATTGTGAGTCATATTGAAACAAGCTGAATAAATTGAAAGATAAATGAAACCTATTTAAAATGGATCACACAACTAAGTGTACAGTAGCCAGAAGGGAGAAATGTACGTCGATGGTTTAAGAACTCGACACGTAAATTGGAAATCTAATCCGACTACTAAGAATTATACAGCTACATAATATTCAATCAGTTATCATCAGCATAGACCCTGGCACATATTTGTGTTGGCCACAGTTGACATACCACACAAGCATGATGAGATAAAAATAGCCAGATGGAATGATGCAGAGATCGGAATTATGTATCAGTAATAAAAGTGAGAAGGACTGAACATTAAGAATATGGTTCATAAAGACAGAGAGGACAGGTATGCTGGAATTCACAATCGAGAGTAGAGCAAAGAGTGAGTTTATCTGAACCACCTAATGTCTTTATTGACCACAGTCATAATGCAGACCCCGACAAATTAATCTGCATCGAACATGGATCAAGCCAACTCAGTAATTTTATGAATCGATGCATGTTTAAGCATAGCAGCACCTATTTTATTTTTAAATACATATAAATACTACTAGAATAGGAACCAAAATAAATAAGGGCCATACGTCTAAAGAAATAAAATTGTGGAGATAGAGGAATTAGTAGGAGATATGTATACATAAATGAAAACAGGTGAATACGAGTAGCATTTAATAGGATAAGGTATTCGTTTAGGAAAAATACAACAATTAAACAAGTTCCTCTCACATTTATGAAATAAGTGGGAAAAATTACTGTAGGAACGCTACTGACTTCTATTCTGAGCCACGTCTAATAACAACTCAAGACACTGTGTCGCGCCGTTTCTAGGGGGTCTTGAAAGACTAACAGAAGCCAATCATGTACAGCTTCCTTTCATACCGCGATACTGCACTGACCAATGCTCCACTTATTTCAGCAGGTCCCAGCATCGAAAAGTAATGCACGACGTGAAATTCGCTGGGATGGCATTCGTAAGACATGTCCAAACCACCGAAGTCAGTGTTTTAAGACGGTGACATGAACTGAATTATAGTCGCTGTGCTTGAATACATATTGCTAAACCTCTGCATTACTAGCATGATGTGGCCACTGGATATCGGCAATTCTTTAGACAACAGTGATCCAACACAGAGAGTCGTTTCCATCCTCAACTCGAAGAGGTCAGGTTTCACAAGCATAAAGCAAAGCTGCTTTCACCGACGCGTTGTAGATTCGACCTTTTACAGCCAGAATAACGTCATGAAGGCGCCAATGATGGCCCAGATTGGCATAAACCAATCTGGTTCCCAGTATACGTTCATTGATCTTATCACTCACCCTACCACCAGGATTTGCACAGCTACCCAGATACATGAACTCGACTAATCCTATCTGCTCAATATGGTAGAGTGATCGCAGGTACAGACTCCTTCCAGTCTCATAAAAGCACTTTGAACTCAGAAGGTGAGAAGCACATTCTATTACTGACGGATATTAATTAAGCGTGGACTGCATGACTCGAGTATCGCCTCACAAAAAGAAAACATTATCCGCATGCACAACGTCGAAAAGTCTTTCTCCCAGTAACCGATCTAGACCACCATTACCTACATCAACTACGTCAAAGTTAAAGATTAGTCAAACCCACCTAATTCTATTGCTTGAATGAAACTGAGGTGGTTGTATGCACTTACCCTGACCCATGTTTGAACACGGAGCGTTCAAGCTGTCAATAAACTTCTCAGGCACACTCTTCCTCAACAAAACCTCATTTCTGTGCGATGGATCAAAGATGGTCTTGATACCAATAAAAAGAACGATTGTAAGCTTGCGATATGTATGGAGGTGTTCTAGAATTTGGTGGAGAGTGAAGATTTAATTAATGCATCCATGTCCTAGACGAAAAATAGCCTACTTCTTGTGAGTCAGTCTTCCACTCATTCTGGACAATCTGCTTAGCATGACAAAAGCCAATAGCTTGGAAACAACTGAAAGTAGATTTACTCCCTGATAATTGGTGTAAAAATGTCTTAGGCCCTTTTAAAAGATGGAAACGACCAACACTTTATTTCATGGTGTCGGGATACTTTATATTTCTTAGATATTTCCGAACAATTCAGTCAAAAGTACATCGCTATCCCTTAAAACAGCTGGAGATAAGTCATCTGGGTTCGTGGCGCTTTAGAAGTCGGAATTTTTGAAGACCTAGCTTTTTTCCAAGCTACCTCTACATTGGCACACATCCCCATGACCCATAAATCCCACGACATTATCATGATAGCACAGATGCATCCATCTTTAATATTACTTATTATATTTTTATTCAGAAATCTACATATTTCACACATTTTTCAGTATATTTTTTTTATTTTTACTAGAACTGCGCACTTTGGCGAGTTCATACGTGTTAAGGAAACCGCACTTCCGAAAAATAAAATCAGTAACAATGGGAAGATGTTTAAAAGAACAATAAAAAGGCAGTGTGTGAAGAGTTATGAGATGCTCAAGATGCAATGGAAGATAGAGTGAATGCGACTGTATTATTGTGATTTGTTTTGAACCAAGTCACCTTGGATGTCCATAATTTTTATTATTTAGTGGACCAGATGCGAGAAACGTGTATCTCTTGATACAACACATAATCGACCAGTGACTTCGTTAAGTGGAGCTTCTACCGCAGTATATTTACGTCTATGATTATTTATCAGCATAACCAACGGCCAAGATCAGATTTCCGACTTTTAGTACGAAATTATTACTACACCAAAAACTATCAGCTTATGTCACAGTCTGCCTCTTTAGTTACATACCTTCTATGAGTGATACTAATAATAATTATATAATACAGTGTTCAACTTAGAAAAGGGTAAGAAGTATGTTTGATGCGCTTTTCTGGACTATACTTCAGCTTTTGATTCTATACCAAGACAACGTTTACTTAACAAGTTAATCAGCGTCAACACTGACAGCTGGATAACCAACTGGCTATGTTCCTACCTCTCTGGAAGGGAACAGTACACTGTATTTGGAGGAAAGTGTTCAGAGTTTCTACTGTCTCATGAAGGTGTACCACAAGGAGCTGTTCTTTCACCCATTCTTTTCTCTTTTTTCTGCATAATCTGCCATCTTCCACAGAAAACACTTATGTGAAATATGCGGATGATCTTACTGTATGTATGCGTATCTCGTCCTCTTTACATCCCACAGAAATGAATGGGTTTTTGTCTCGTATTGATTGTTGGTCTGTAGGTATTGGTCTTACGCTTAATCCGTCTAAATGTCAAGGTGTTAACTTTAGCATGAGATATGAACGGCATCTAAACACCATTTCGAGATCCCATAATGCTTGTGCCATTGGAGACTCTTTGATAAACACAATGTCGAAGGTCAATTATCTTGGTGTCACCTTTTCTTCTGATCTCTCTTGGTCTTCTCACGTTTTATTGTTATCGAAGAAAGTTTTCCACCTCACTTACTACATAAAGAGATTGCATGCTCTTGGGATTACTCGTCATTTACTCTTACAATTTGTCAATTCTTGCATATTACCTATTATTCCTTACTGTTCTCCATTATTCTTTCCCGGGCTTTTGAGAAAAGACTTTGCTGTATTGCGGAGAGTGCTGAAGGCAGTTAGCAAGGTGTGCGGTGAATCTTTCGAGGTCATAATTAATATGGTTGTGGGTAGACATCTAAAGTCATGCAAACTCCTGGCAGGTGTTATTTTATCAGACACTAACCATCCCCTTCACTCTTATATTTCTCCTTGTATATCTTCTGGTAGAACGAGACGTAATTACATTGAAATCTATGCACGCAAGCAAAAGTATAAAAGTTCTATAGTACCTTACCTAGCAAATATACTCTGTGACGAACAGGTTGTTAGAGTTAACCTAGTCAATAAACTGCATTCTTAACATGTCTCTAATTTGAAAAGTTGTACAGTTTTTCAGATTTTTTTAAACCTTTCTTCCCTTTTTTGACTTTGCTTCCATTCTTTTTTGTGTAAGAAACTTGTTGAAATACCCTGTGCTGAGAATTTCTATATTGTACCAAAATATAATACTGAATAAAGCCATTAATAATAATAGTAATAATCACAGCAAAAAACAGGTTATTTCTAAAATACCTATAATAAAATGAATGTAGCTCGGTGTTAGTGTTTTACGATTGTGTCAGCAGAATGTAACGTAGAACATAGTGCATGTGTACATTGGTTCAAGCTACCATACCGCATTAACACGGCGAGATGAAATTGTTAGGGTAAACCCCATGGTGGTAGGGTTATTAACAGTTTAGTGGGAATATAAAAGATTTATTTACTTATTTATTTTAACACAGAGATATGGGTACAAGGAGGCACCAAATACATATGCGTCACACAAATCTCATTTGACATGTGTGAGGGCTGTGTTACCCCCCGGGTGCCAAAACCGAAGTGGGCGGTTTTCTTATGAGGTCACACCCGGAGCCTTCGACCTAAAGGTCTAATCCATAAGGCAGTGGAGCATCGTAAGGGGATACAGTCCCATGGTTGCCGGTGACCAACGATTGGTTCATACGCCATTTGTTCCTTCAGGATCCTGGAGCCAGCTCATGTGCACCATTGGTTTGGAGTCAGGGTTTTCCAACTCCCCTAGGTGGACTCTCCATGTCCACCAACCCAGTTAAAGCGCCAGACATTCGCTTCTCGTCCTCTCAATTTCGTAAACAACACCCCCGCCACGAGAAGGCAGTGAGTAGGACTGCCCTGACAGAGACTATATACGCCTGGCCATGTGAGAGCATTTCGAGATGGAGAGCTGACTCTCCTCACTTTCGGCCGTACCAGGGCATTCGGGGGCATAGAAAAGATTAGATATCCGAAATACAATTCAAGAATATATAAATCAGTGAAATAAAAAAATTATCAGAAATTTGGAAACCTAGAATATAAGGAAAAAAAGAGTTGATGTACCTGAGCCATTGCAAATGATTTTGAATCACGTTATTCAAAATCTCTAACCACTAGCCAAGATAATCACACGGACTCCAACCAGGTAGTTTGTATCTGCCAACACTGTTTAGTCCAATAGTTACTTTTCCATCCTATTCCTATATCAGCTATCATTGCGCGTCGAGGCAGTCGATGAAGATTTACTGCCTAATCATACTCACCTAACAATCTGCATTCAACCTCAGAATTGCTAACTTGATGATCCAAAAATATACAAGCACAGACGCGTATCTGGAAAAAGAGCACACCCGTGTAAAATCGGCTCTTCACGACCACTTAAATACTCAGGAAATATTGCAAGAGGCACAAGTAAAGCAAGCCACACACAAATCAAGTGACTTATGTGGTGCATAAGTGAAAAACAACAACTGTGGCAGGACACAATCAAAACCTTTACAATATTAGGCACTTAGCTACGAAGCCACATTGTGCCTTGCTTATAAGCTAGTTAGTGAGCAAGATTTAGTAGTTAATTTATTGGCAAAAGCAATTATTTTGCTAACACTCACTCTTCAAAGAGGCTTCTTACCATTACCACCAACTAGTTTGATTTCTGAAAGTTCCCCCAATAACAATTGATAGTGTTCATTAGCCAAAGGATCTAATATAAGTGAAAGTGCATGAGATTGTGTTTGATTTGCGTCTGGGAGTACTGCAGACAACCACCGACTATCATCAAGACAACTCAAGGACATCACTGAAAATCAAAATGAGGAACTCAGAAAATCACACCAAAAATACATTTATGAGAAATCATTCACAGCATACATATCATACAAAAAACCATGAAACATTTATTATGAGGTTATTATTAATCGTAATTTCAAGCTGATACAGAAGTTTCGAGATTCTCCGGAAGTCACGAAGCTGATGCCTCTTCTAACAACCGGAACAACAAACTATTTAGGTACATAGGATGTCCGGACAATGTAGGAGACCGGAAGAACCAGTCAAATAGCAATAGAAATCAGGAGATACAACATGGCGATTGTATGAATAAGATAAACCCATTAGACCCGAATTCGACATAAAAGAATGAATTCGGAAGAGAAGCTCCTGTGCTCTGATCACGAAGAAACTGCTTCGTACACCCAGAAAGTTGCTCTGATACTGTTCAAAAAGTCACGTAAAGCACTGAAAGGATGAGAATCTCATGGATACAGAAGATACTTAGTTATAACAAATCATATGCTGAATATAGTTCATGTTAACTCAATACAATAATATCGTATGTTATACAGAATTAAATGTCAGGGGGAAACGGAACAAAAATTATACTGAGTGATCATCAAATTGAATTAAACGGAATTACTGTTGAATAAAAGTCATAATGAATAAATAAATCTAATTCGGACTTTTCACCCCGTCACAACACCCGCAGAAACAGGTTCCAAGCCTTACAAGACCTATTCAAAAAGAGGAAACTACTATAGCGAACAAATGGGAAGGGAGCAAAGAACTAGCTTCAGCGTTTAGGAATGCGCTGGACCTCAAGAAGCATCATCATAACAAATGGATATCTAGCGAAACCCTGGACAAGATTCAAGAGAACAAGATAGCAATTAACAGTTGAACAAGAGAAAGCCAAGGCACAAGCTTAGTACACTGAAGCAAACAAGCGAGTGAAGAGTAGCATAAGAGCTGACAAGCAGAAATACGTAGAAGACCCTAGCAACAATGGTGTAAAAAGCTGTAGGAGAAGGAAATGTGAAACAACTATATGACAGAATGAAGAAATTGGCAGGGAAATATAGCAAACCTGAGCGACCGGTCAATGACAAAGGCAAGCCAGTCACTGAGAATCCACAACATAGGAACAGATAAGTGAAACACTTTGAAGAACTCTTGAATTAACCAACCCCACTGAACCCACCGGATATCGATGCAGCACACACAGACCTTCCTATACCTGTCATTCCGCCAATCATCGAGGAAGTCAGGATGGCCATCAGACAAGTCAGGAGTGGGAAGGCAGCAGGACCTGGCAACATGCCAGCTGAAGCACTGAAGTCAGGTATAAAAGTAACGGCAAAGATGCTCCATGTTTTTTTCAGTAGGATTTGGGAGGAAGAACAAGTGTCGACAGAAAAGAAAGAAGGATATCTCATCAAGATACTAAAGAAATATGAGCAAATGTGAAAACTAGAGGCACCGCACTACTATCGGTACCAGAATGCGTTTTCAACGGCGTTGCTGAACCAGATGAAAGACTTGGTAGACGCCCAACTTCGAGATCAGTAGGCTGGATTCCGTAAGGGTTGGTCGTACACAAACAGAGTCGCTATACTATGGATCAATGACAAGCAATCAGTTGTACTGAATTCATCGCTATACACCTTGACTATGAAAAAGCATTTGACAGTGTGGATAGGAGAGGTTGTGAATCTTCATCAACAGAGATGGTTGGGCCACGTGTTGCGTATGCCTGAACACCGATTACCATGACGTGCAATGCTAACTGGTGTTGGAGATGGTTGGAAGAAAGTTAGGGGCGGCCAAACCAAAACGTGCTATCAGTGCTTGAAGACACGAACTTTTGGTCTGAGCCATGTTGGTAGATGCAGACTACTTGGTTGGGGTCCGCGTGACTATCGTAACCAATGGTTGGAGACTATTGGTGACATGGCTCAGAATCGATCACAGTGGCGTAGGTGCATACACTATCTTCTCTTAAACTAAGAGATTAAAACCACTTTATATCTTTCTTTCTACGAACTAATTCTTTCTTCCTGTACTATACTTTTATATGCAGTCTTTCTTCTATATATTTACCCCCATTGAAGTAACTACGTCCATGAATCCAGTGTTCATCTTGCTGTGCTAATGCGGTATGGCAACTTGGACCGATGTGTATATGTGTCTGGTCCTACGTTGTAGCTGACTGACTGACTGGATAGGAGGACATTATGGAAACTTCGACACAATGGTGTAACTGAGGTCGTCAACATCATCCGGAAGACATACAAATTACGACAGTCATGCATGGAAGACAGCTGGTAGACGCACTCCAAGTGAAGACCGGAGTCAGACAAGACTGCCTGCTCATTTCCTTTCTTTTTCTTCTGGTGCTCGACTAGATTATGAAGAACTCGACATCTGAGGGAAAGCACGTAATACAATGGACAGCTTAAATGCAACTAAACGATTTGGAATTCGCAGATGACCTAGTTCTTTTATCCTATACACACGAACGAATGCAGGTCAAGACAAGCAGTGTAGCAAAAGCCACAGCATCCATAGGCTTTAACATACACAAGAGAAAAAGCAACATCCTCAGATAGATCGCGGAGAACACCAAATAAATCACACATGGGGAAACTTTAGAAGTGGAATCTTCCACTAAACATGTGTGCAGAAGGGCCAGATTGGTCCGTTGTCGGAGTACTTCGTCAAATATATTGGTATGTACAGAGGGCAATGAGACATCAATGGATGCTTATCATAAGAACGCGAATGGTTGTAATGACTAAGTGGCACACTATTTAACACACCGAAAGAACATAAACAAAAAAATAATACGCTAGTCACCTACATTTGGTTTATTCCAGGTAAATTCCCAAGCTGCCAATTTTGGAAATACTTTGGCCCATTTTGGGGAAGCCGGTATAGTAAATTTTGGGGAAATGAGACGCAATCCCCAAAATTTCCCCAAACGTTGGAGAAGTTTCCCCGAAATTCCCCGAAATCGGCAGCCCATGTTTATGCTTTAGGTTCAAGTATTACAACTGCTAGTAAGAATTGTGGGTCAGTGCATCAAGTGAACTGAAAGCTATGTCCATTAGAACCGTCGAAAATAACTTGTGTATAAGTAAGTAGTTCACTGTCGACCCTTTGAGACGACAATCAACGTCAGGTGAAAGGTTATTGTTTTAGGCAATAAACACCTTTGACATTCAACATTATTGAAATTTCATAAGCAGTTAACAATAGATTATGTGCTAAAAGGCGATCACAGCAACACCCAGGTAGTAAAATAAACACACTATCCAACTGGTTTTGGACAAAAGATATGAACGAAATCTCGTGAAGTATCAGGTCCAACACCTCTCCAGAAGTCTTCTATGGATAAACTAACACTCCAATGACTTGCTCCAGTCATCCACAACAAATTAAAATGTCACAAATTCAATGTGATGTGTCGATTCAACAGATTAGAATGCTAAAGTTGAGTTAGTATCGAATAATAGTGATTTTATCGAAAAGCCCCTCATTTTTTCAGTTAGTTGTTACAAACACTCTAGGACTTAGACAAACAGCTAGGAATATCCTTTAAAAGTAAGAAAATAGAGATATCTTGATGTCGTTGGTAGCCTTCAAAAATATATAGGGAACGTACGATGACCGTATCTGTGTTACGAACTTCGCAGCCGCTGACATTTTTGCTGTACAGTCTATACTGTCTTACCAACATAGTACGTACGAAATGAACACGAGACCGGCTTTCCCCCCCCCCCAATTTCCCCAAAATTGGGAGATCGTGGCCTAATATGAATGGATGCGCACTTCCACTTTATGATGAAAGCGAGAGACAAACATCAGAAATAACACAAGTATGAGATTAAGACAACCTGACAAAGGAAACTAGAAGTTGATAGCATAAGGTTCCAAACTCACCGCTTTAGGTTGAATTCGACAGTTGTCGAGGCCAATGTGACAATGATTGCAAAGCTATTTGACCTTCAAGGCCGTGTTTCAAAAAAGGCAGTGATTTTGTGCTTGTTGTGGTTATCCTTGCCTTTGTGTAATTGTTGCATCAAAAGCATTCTTGGTCTATATTAAATCACTTTAGTTAAGGTTTGAAATCTTGCTTAAGTTTGTCTTGTGGTACCCTTTTACTTATTGAATGACACTTGTGTTCATATTGTGTTTTACACCTTAATCTGACTAAATTGGTTGGTAGTACTCACAACCGTGGACAACCAAACTGCTTGTTCCCTGTGGAGGAAGGAATGCAGTGCGATGAATGCAAAAAGTCGTTCCTTAAGATGTGTACCCGTTTGACTCCCACCGCATACAAAAGATGTTCGAAGCCTAACTCACATTAGCTTTGCATGTTTTGTTGTGCAAATAAGACGTTATTAATACAGGAAGCCATGAACCTATTAACTTCGGCCTGTAAGAAAACGATGGCGCATGCACGAGCACTGACGGTGACGAATATGTCAGTGTAGTACCAACTGTTACGAGACGCCTCAAACACCCGACTGTGCCACATGAAATTGACATTGGTAATCATGCACTTCTATTGGGAATTGAAGATCCGTATAAAACCGCCACCGTTCCAAATAGTTCCGGTGTCCTGAGTGATGAAAAATTGACTACAGTACGGAGAAAACTAAACTGACAGAAAAAAGCTGTAGGCAGCACGCAGCTGGTTAGCAAGTCACTGCTGCACTCTCATTGTGAGTCACAAAATGCACTAACAAAATCTGATAGTAAGAGAGAAACCCACGCTGGCATGACTGAGAAGGAGAATCTGTAGTGGCATTGAACCATAACCACACAATCCTCAAAGCTGAACACGAGACAATCGGGAAAATAGATATTCAATATTTAACGCGGAGAAACACCTAACGATGGAGAAGGCAGGAACAAGGAGTTGAATTAATTGTAGTTGGTCGAATAGCATAACTCGGCCTTGCAGGCGTGGTCCCTGTTGAATGTTACCTTATATCTTTTGTTCATATTAAATATATTGTTCTATCTTTAGCCTATGCTTGTTCTCCACCATGTATTGGTGATTGTTACGATGCAATGAGTTAGTGTAGACGATAATGTGACTTTCACGTAAGATATTATAGATTAGGCAGTTATGTCATGACAAGTTTACAATTTAAGGATCAGGTCTATTATTAACGCAATACTAATATCATAGTAGACCATAATTCTACAGAATCAATATCATCGAATATTATTGTGAGCAAATTGCTGGAGTCAAACGACCCTGATCCCCAAATGAGACACGCAGATGACCTAGAGAAGCTGTGAGAATATATTCGCAGTATCTTACCAGATAACTCCAAAGGAGTTCAGGTCAAGAAACTCATTAGAATAGGCAAGAGGACCAAGGACAATGTTGTACCCCGACCATGCAAACTCCTTAAGGTAATCTTAGGATCAGGGCGCCTTTTTCGAACGGGAAGTTTAGTCCTAACGTGATTTGCATATATCAAACTTTTGCTGTGTTCTTACGCAACAAAAGTACCATTTCAGTTCTAAAGAATCTATCCTGAGCTATACGTTCGGTAGATTACTTTTTTTTGAGTTTCACTATATTTAATAGTTACCTGTGGTTTTGTAGTGGCATTGAACAATAACCGCACAATCCACAAAGCTGAACACGAGACTACTCAGAAAATAGATACTCAATATTTAACGCGGAGAAATACCCAACAATGGAGAAGGCGCGAACAATGAATTGAATGGACGGGAGTTGATCGAGTGGCATGGCTCGGCCATGCAGGCGTGGTCCATGCTGGATGTTATCTTATATCTCCTATTCATATTAAATATATTGTTCTTTCTCTAGCCTAAGCTTGTTCTTCATCATGTATTGGTAATTGATACGAGACAGTGAGTTGGCGTAGTCGATGATGTGACTTGCACGTAAGATCTTATAGATTAGGCAGTTATATCATGACAAATCGACAAATTTAGGATTAGGTCTATTATTAGAGCAGCACTAATGTTATAGTAGACCATAATTCTACAGTTTTGCCTCAGCTTACTATTCGGTTTTTTTGTTTTTCACGTATAGACTAGTTTCAGTTTATATCACTCGTTTTGTCCATTTTTGTCCGTTTTCAGTGTGCTTTTTAGTATTTTTTAAAAAGGTCTTAGGCTCTTGCAAGCATCTATAACATAGTTTGCTTCAACACCGTCATGAAAAACTCATGCAAACGTCCGGGATGCCGTTTTGCTGTCACAACTGGCATGCAGTGCGACAACTGCAAAGGTTGGTTCCACGAAGCATGCACAAATCTGACAGCAACTGCTTACAACAGACTCAGCAAGTCAGACCAAAAGTGGGTATGTGTCACTTGCAGCACGGACGCAGTAGTCTTGCTGAGTAACATCATTGCCCTACTGACAGGTCTTCGGAACAAGCTGTCAGTTAACTTGGAATACGATAGTAAAAAAACCGATATACAAACAAGAGTGTGCAACAGACTCAAAAATAGGGATGTCGATAGGTATACCATCGATGGAGCATCCATCAACACTAATGACGACGTGTCGAGGCTCAGTACCATCGTTACGTCGACGGTACTAGACTCCCTAGGCAAACTCGGGTCTCCCAGCTCAGGGTCCCTGAACACAACCGTGGTTCCCAAAAACCCTGCAGGTGATTCGACCCACGTTAAGAGAGCCCAAAAGAACCAGGCATCACCGCCTAAGCCGAGCAACCCAAGTGTTGCCGCACGGAAAATAACTGGTGATTTAGTCGCACGGTTTACCCCCAAGACTGTTCGTCCGGTCAATAAAGAGCCCGAGATTCATAAACGCACACTAACTAGCCAAGAAGGACGGTGATCTTAGACCCCGTCTAATGAAGATAACCTTCCCATCTTCCCACATGGCGGCTGCAGTTCTGGAAGCATTTCGTGCTAATAAACGTTGATTGCCACCTGGAATCCACATGCACCCGGATAGGCCATACGAAGTTAGTACCAAGAACAAAGGCAAGTTGGAGCTGACCATTCCACTTGTGGACTGTCTAAACGATAAAAAAACGTGTAAAGGACAGGGCCTACCACCCCGGGAAACCTCATATAGGAGGGCTACCTGTCCATTCACATAAGGTTCATACAGAAAAACAGGACGAAGCTCACGCGTTCCAAATTGAAAGCATAAACTGCTTATATATGAACGCCGCGTGTCTACCAAACAAACTGGATGAACTACGTGAACTTAGCAACGCTAATAAGGTCCATCTGATAGGAATATCTGAAACCTGGATATCTTCTCAGTTCTCGGACCAAGAGTTAGCATTACCTGGGATGACTTTGTTCCGCAACGACAGAAAAATAGGAATTGGGGGCGGAGTAGCCATATACATAAGATCTTGCTTGGAGGTGCACCAGGTTCACAACCTCGAGTTTAACAATCTTGAGGAATCCATATGGTGCTCTGTAAGATTGTCTAGTACTTCGAGGTGTCTAGTCAGAGTCATTTACAGGAAGCCAACTGCCGACACCGAGTACGATAGTCGTTTGCTGGAAGGACTATCCCGCTCTATCCGTCTCGGTTTCACACACATCCTGATTCTAGGGGACTTTAATCTCCCTAGAGTCAACTTCGCGGAACACACGTACACTGGAGGCGACAACTCAACTGAAGCTCGGTTCTTCAACCTCATCGATAACTTGGGCTTATATGAAAATGTGAGGTCGGCAACAGTCAGACACCATCGCGCTTAGACTGTGTATTCACTAACGAAGAATTTTTAGTCGACAACCTCTCAATCTTGGCTCCTCTGGGAAAGAGCGATCATGCCGTCATAGCCTTCAGTTTTGTCATCAAAACTAAGCTAAGGTATCCCAACAATAATTTGCTTTGGAATTTTAAACGGCTGAATGTGCCAGCTCTACATGACTATCTACAACAGGTGGTTTGAGATGTTCACCCTCAACTCGATTTGGATGGTCATTGGGACTTCTTACTGCACACGCTCTTATGTGCTACAAACCATTCAGTTCCTCAAACGGTTCCCAAAAGCTGCAAGCCACCTACAGTAATCAAGAACCGTACCCTTCGCCTGCTAAGCCGCAAAAGGCACTGTTGGGCGGAATACAAACGAACTAATAACGATGGAGCGTATAGGCAATATAAACATATCAGGAACATATGCACGAAGGCTATAAGAAAAGACAGGCTTCAGTACCAAACAAAGCTTATGGACAAATTCGCCTCTAACCCTAGAAGCCTATTCCGTTATGCAGCCTCTCTTCGTCAAGCCCAAACAGGAGTTTCTCAACTGCTAGGTCTTAATGGCCCGACCAACAACGATGGCGACGCCGCTAACCTTCTGGCGGCACATTACTCTCAAACATTTCAACCGGCTGACATCAACTTTATTGACGACAGTTTCATCTGCAATTCCACAGGACTTTCCGAAGTGGACCTAAGCGCTGACTTGGTGTTCCGGAAATTGCAGCACTTAAGACTAGATACTTCTCCTGGCCTGGATATGGTTCATCCTGCCATACTGAGGGAGGCAGCCTCATTCCTGGCAATGCCGCTTAGCGTGATGTTTTCACACTCGCTATGCCGAGGCAAATTACCGGAAAATTGGAAGTTGGCTCACATCACACCAATTTTCAAAGGAGGTCGACGCAATGAACATTCAAGTTATCGGCCGGTGGCTCTTCTGTCATTACCTTCAAAACTCATGGAGTCCCTGATATGCGACGGTTTAAATGACTATCTACTGTCCTTAAATTTCTTCTCACCCCAACAGCATGGTTTCAGGAAGGGTTACTCTTGTATAACCAACCTGCTGACTGCGGTGGACAGATGGACAAGCATCCTCGACTACAAGGGAAAGGTTGATGTCATTTACCTTGATTTCTCAAAAGCTTTTGATAAGGTTAACCACTTGTGTCTTACCAATAAGCTCAAACGACTAGGTATCAAACCACCTCTAATCGATTGGCTTACTTGATACCAAAAAAATCGACACTTTAATGTTAGGGTTAATTTCACTTTATCTCAGGCTATGGAATGTCCTAGTGGGTTCCCCCAGGGCTCAGTACTAGGGCCTCTTCTCTTCTTGATCTACATAAGTGATCTTCCTCAACAGGTAACGTCAGACTTATTACTTTTTGCCGACGACGTGAAACTTTGGAGAGAGATACGCAACCAAGACGATACACTGGCACTTCAGGAGGATCTGATGCGACTTCAAAGTTGGGCAGACGATAACGTACTTACCTTTAACACTTCAAAGTGTAAAGTAGTCCATCTGCGACATGTCGCAAACTACAGTTACAACTTAGGAAACTCCTCTCTAGTAGTATCCCAAGTCGAAAAAGATTTAGGAGTCCTGGTGCCCCATGATTTAAAGTCTTACGCTAACTGTGACAAAAATGCCTTCCGAGCAAACCTTGCACTGGTAACGTTGAAGCGCATTTTTGGACAGTTTGACAGACGAACTTTCCATACAATCTTCAATAGTTTCATCCGTCCCCATTTAGAGTACGGAAACATAGTACTCCCCCCTCACTCCAAAAGGACAAAGTCACTTTGGAGCGTATCCAACGGCGAGCCACGAAATCAGTTCGAGGACTCAAATCTAAACCTTACGAAGAACGCCTCCATTCACTAGACCATTACCCATTAGAGTATAGGCGTCTTAGAGGTGATTTAGTAATGGCTTATAGTATTCTTAACACTTCTGGACATCCTCTTAAACACCTACTTAAGCTTAGTTCGAATAATAACCTAAGGGGTAACACCCAGAAACTGGAAACACAACATAACAAGACGGAATGTAGACACAACTTCTACTCCTTAAGAGTTGTCAAAAGCTGGAATTCGCTGCCGGCCGAGCTAGTTCAAGCGACTTCTCAGGAGTCCTTCAAGAGGCAACTTGACCTATTCTTAGGAACCAAGGACAGCATCACACTATAATTTACCAATTTCTTTTCCTCTTTTATTGTTAACATACCTAGATTCCTGCCTGGAGGATTTCGTGATCCCCTGCTACTAGACACGGAAGCCTGTTAAGCGAAAGCTTCTTCTATTCCGTCCACAACCATTTGAACCATTTGAAGCAGCGGGATCTCTTGTTAAGTAGTGCTCGTTGTCACGACAATTCTGACAACCGAGTTAGACCTGATATGTCTCTCGAAGATAGAACAAGGAGGAAGAAAGCACCAGCTGAACTAGAAACCCGTCGGCAAAACGGCGAAGAAAATCTCCGGCTAGTGGGTTTTCGGATAGTCAGGTTTTGGAAGAGAATGTTAACAAGGCTTATGTGGATAGGCCAATCAACCTAGAAGTTTTATATGCCAACGTTCGTAGAATAAGAAATAAGTTTTATGAACTAGAGGCATTAGTGGGCAGATTAAGGTCACTCATTATAGCAGTGACAGAAACTTGGTTATTCCATGACTTAGACATTACTCCAGAATTATCCGTATACCATTACCTAAGGAGTAATAGACATGGATGTAGAAAAGGAGAAGGCGTCCTGTTATATATAGCCAATAATATAAATATTCGCTCCTCTGCTAGCGAATCCCATGATAGTGGTGCTTGTGAAGTCATTAGCTGTAAATTGGCTATCATATGTAGTACATTTATGCTCAGTTTCATCTATCGCAACCCGATTGGCTTAGCTGATGACTTTATTTTTGAGCAGATTCATCTTTGGAGTGCAAATACCAGATACTTGATAATAGGAGACATTATTGCACCTGATATTGGTTGGACTGAGATGACCATGGAAGGATCTACAAACTCCTTTGACAGTAGGTTCCTGATAACAATAATGGAGCATGCATTAGTGCAGTATGTGTCCAAACCCACTCGTTTTGGTGCTAACCGAGGTTCTTCTCTGTTGGACTTGGTAATCACTCACGAGACTGAGGATATTGTCGACCTAAATATTCTTCCACCCTTAGTGAATAGCGATCACGCTTTTTTGTCATTTGCGTTTAGAACTAGGAACATGTTGTACGATCAGGTCACACCCCGTCCAAATGTATGGAAAGCTAACATGTCAGCCATTCATAAATACGCTGCTAAGACAGATTGGCTTGTAGATACTCGTTTATCAGTTGAAGAAGCATGGTCTATACTTAAAGGTAAGTTTAGTTTAGTAGCGTCCTCGTTCATACCATACTTGGTACCGCGAAGACCAAATAACAGTCCACCATGAATAACTAAACCCGTCAGAAAACTTCTTAGAAAAAGGAAGGAGCACTGGGATATGTTCATCTCTACTGGCTTAGAGCAATACAGATCCAGTTATTGTAAGATCAGGAATGCTTGTAAAGCCTTGGTAAGTAAGACTAGACGACTATATAAAAAACAATTGGTTAGGGATTCTAGATATAGTCCGAAACGGTTATTCTTTTATTTAAAAAGGCAAACTCAGAGAAGCGATGGAATTCCATCACTTTTGATACAAGAAAATCCGTTGGTCTTGGCAGAAAGTGATACCAAAAATGCTGAAGCTACATCAGAATATTTCAGTAGTGTTTTTTATTAGTAATGAGGAATGACCAACATTTCATTAAGATTGTGGCGGCTTGCTGATGGACCCTATAGTCATTGAAAAAGGTACTGTTTTAGGGCTACTTCAGCATCTCAAACCTGATAAGTCCAGTGGTCCTGATGATATTCATACTAAGATTATGAAAGCCATATCAGATGTAATCTCTGAGCCATTAGCGATACTGTTTGACATGTCTCTGAGGCATTCCAAACTGTCCAGAGATTGGAAAGACGCTATAATAAGTTCGGTGTATAAGGTTGGGAGTAGGGATTTAGTTAGTAACTATAGTCCCGTTAGCTTGACTAGTGCGGTTGTGAAACTGATGGAGAAAATCATTCGGATATCTGATATAACATGGTTTTCGGATAGACCTATCATGCTTGATAAATCTTCTCATTGCAAGAGAAGATTGGGCTGCCGCAAAAGATCGAAATGTTCCTGTGGATGTGATCTTCATAGACCTAAGTAAGGCCTTCGATAAAGTCTCCCATTCTGGTCTTAAATTCAAACTGGAACGTTTTGGAATCCATTAAACAGTCGTAGATTGGATAAGTAACTTTCTCCAAGACAGGAAACAAAGGGTAATGGTAAATGGGGCTCTCTACTCGTGGGTACCCGTAAAAAGTGGAGTTTCCCAAGATAAAATCCCCGGTCCTCTTCTCTTTTTACTCTGTGTAAGTGAATTACCAACTGTAGCAAAACCATCCGTTCTACTCTTTGCCGATCACATATAGATTTGGAGACCCATACACAGTATGTCAGCTAAAATACTATTACTGGATGATCCCAGCTCATTGGTGGCATGGTCGGACAGGTGGTCACTAGAAGCAAATCCTAATAAGAGTGGTGATGCAAATAAATAACTATGATGAATCGTATCACTATACAATATGTGGATTCGTGCTAACCAAACTAAGAAACCATAAAGATTTAGGAGTCATATTAAGCAGTTGAAGATGACACAGGTATTCAGTGTTTGACAACGCTTCTACCAGTAACACCTAATATGATTTGTACCCACCGAGAGAAATCAAAAGACAGAGTCGAGGAGATCGGAAGAGTATATTTGTCGATAACCAATATATCGGAATTCTCTGACCTAATCTGGCTAGCGATTGCGGTAGATGTTGAGCACAGCGTTACCACACGAGATCTGGTGCGGATGCCTGACCGAGCGCCTTCAGCTAGATGAGTTCACTAAGACATGTGGTCAGCATCCAATGTCGAAAACTTACAGGGCTATTTATTTTGTGGATTTATTTACCGCTACACAGTGAACTCAAAACCACTAGTCACTGTAAAGCTGCTGATGCAAAAGGCTATAAGGTATTATGGTCTATTCGTTAGACTTTCCAGTATTTAGATGATGAAATGTTCGGATTATTATACCCGATTTACGTGCGACCACATTTAGAATATGGGATTCAAACAGAAAGTCCTTGCTTCAAGTATGAAGCAGACATGCTGGAAAGGGTTCAATGACGAGGTACTAAGATGGTACAAGGTTTATCTGTCCTATCTTACGAAGACAGACTGAGACATCTTAACTTATTCCCGTTATCTTCCGTAGAATACGGGGTGATCTAATATCGGCTTATCGTATAGTGGACGATGACCTTGGTATTAACATGTCTTATCTCTTGTTTCCGTCTAGGACCGATCATTTGAGAGGACACTCGAAGAAACTTCAAAAACCGAGATCAAACCGTTTACGTCTGGAGTTCCGTTTCTCGCACCGAGTAGTGAATTACTGGAATTCTCTACCGGAACACGTAATATCGGCATCTTCTGTTGATATATTCAGGACGAGATTGAACCTCCACAGTATTACACACTGCAAAGATTAATATAGGTCGACAGACCTATCTTTGTTACTGAAGACTGAAGGCCGCAGTTACTTGCGCCAGTATTGAAGGTCGTCGAACCTTTTCGGAATGAAATGGTGCTGGTTGAATTTTTGTTACTGTATCTTTTCTGTTTTGTTGGTATGTTGGCTACTAAACGTATAAATTAACTTCAGTCAAGTATTAGCTTGTCGTATGGAAGACACACATCAAATTGGGCTGTTCTTGTAGATACTTCGCGGTTCTGGTTCAACTATCGACATATAAGCAATGTCCTTTCAATTTATCGAAGTATCAAGCGCCTCGGAATACCAGATAGGTATCATATTTATTATAATATTTATTCATCTTAAAAGCCGTATTATTTTGATGGTGGCTGATGATGCAAGTTGTAGCTCGAGAAATCCGAGACCAGGTAAGATATTTGACGTATCCTTATGGTCTTAGCAACAATCTTCAACAATCCTTACAGTCGGGTAAATTTGTATGGCGAAGAGATAGAGATTGATTATCGTGGTTACGAAGTTACTGTAGAAAACTTCATTCGTGTATTAACTGGGCGTTTACCTCCTTCGACACCTACTTCTAAGCGCCTCAATACTGACGAGCACAGTAATATCCTAATATATATGACAGGTAGTTCCTGAAAACTTTAATTCCGGCTTCAGGCCATGGTGGTGATGGTTTCCTTAAGTTTCAAGATGATCATGAGCTTTCTAACAGTGAACTGGCCGATGCGATTGAACAGATGTGGCAAAAACGTAGGTGAGTCTGGATTTATCAGTTTTTAACTTGAAAAGTTGAGTCCATACTCTTCAAAGGCACTGTTTTATCTGTTGGTTACAGCGGTCTAATTTATGGCAGAACGAGGACTAAATTTTTACACTACTGTGCTGATCTAAGTTTATGGGTTTAATATTGAAATTTAACAATTTGACTAACCCTGTTTAATGTTCAAAGGTTCAACTAGTTGTTCTTCAGATTGGTGTAGTAAGAACAGGGCCTTATGCCTATGTTATTCTTTTTCTAGTATGGTTTTGTGAATGCCTAGTCTTTTCTTGAACGAGTCAATTGAAAGTGCGGACACAACTGCTTCGGGTAACAGGTTCCAAGTATTGATGACTCGGTATAAAATCCTGCATGCCACGGGTATTTTGTTCGTTTTTCGCTTTTATACTCTTATGTTCTCTGAGATGTCCCGATCTAGTGGGAAGAAAAAGAGAATATATTAGGTCCAAAATCATTTCTTAGTATTCTACACATCAGTACTAGATCTCCCGTTAGTCTGCGATAGGACAGAATAGAGAGGTCCAGCTTTTCAAGCCGCTCTTTGTGTGGTGAACTACGGAGTTCTGGAATTGCAGGGGTAGCTGCCCTCTGTACTTTTTCCAGGATATCCGAGTCACTTTTTATTGTAAACGGCAGCATTATTATGTACAAGTCTGTCATTGGAGATGTTACTATTACGTAAATGACAAATTAGTCGTTTATGCATACTGTTTATGTTCCTGGCTGTTAAAGATACACTAATTTTCACTTCATATGCAACATATTAGCCCCTCAAAAGTAAGCATATTCTCAATACTGATTAAGTGAAGCTATCAGCCATTTCATAAGCACTCATAATAAACGCCAGCATGTTTATAGCTGTTTATTCTACATCATTGGTATCGATGACCCAGAACTTCCAAATTTACACTTACACATTCAAAATGGTAGACTCAAAAAAGGCTGCAGGGTGTCAGAAGAAACGAGTATGAGTCTGCAAGAATTCCGATCGGATGACTGAGAAATCTGTCGTAGTCTGAAAAACTCTGAATTTCAGGATTATTTCAAGGACTTGTTCTCATGACTTTCCGAATAGTCAAGTCTTAAAATCTCGTGCTATTGAGATCTCGAGTTTACTAATCAAGATTAAATCAACTTGTATAGAGCATCCTCCTAAGTAAACCATCTTCAATCTGGGCATCCGGGCACAAACCCAATGATGACTATAACTGGAAAAAAATCATGTCCGATTCAATTCTTATTCTCTTGAAGTATACTCTCAGCTTTCCGGTAAAATTCGTTTCTATTTTGCATTGCGTTACGTGTCTGTTCCCTTTTATTCCCACTTTATGTATTTATTTATTTCTCAACTCATACAGCAGCTCTCCTGTGGTGGTAATCCTGTCCCATCTAAAAGATTTCAAGTCACTGACTCGTCGAGTTTTTAAGGCTACTACCAAACACGAATTCTGAACCAGCCTTTCTAAAACCATGTGTGCCATTTGAACTGGCCTCCAACGTTCGCACACTAGTGTAAATCGCACGACAGAGATTGGATGCCTTTAGGAAGTCTCGCAGTCGATGTCTTTTGTCCATCCTGGGCACGTATTCAACACTAGTGAAGTACTGTCTATTCTTTCCCCATCTATCGCTCCAAAAAGCTTGTTCCATGTGCATTTATTCAGGGACTCTGTGGCATCTTCGTATGGATTTGCTGGGGAAGTTAATTTTTTTTTGGCCACTGAAACGTAAGATTAACACAAACAATGGCATAATGAGAGTCCGGATTAATACTCCGAAAGGGGAGGTAGTTTTATACACAACCTCGCATGTAAGTAGGATTTCCCTACCTGTGGAGATGTACTCCGTGCCATATGAGAGAGCATTCTGAGGAGGTTGACAGACTCTCCTCATCCTCGGTCGTACCAGTGTGTTCTGGGGCTAGAAATTCTTGTATGAAGACCACAAGATAAGTCTCGTCTCCTTAGAATTTAGAACCATCTATTATTTACACCTGATACCACATTTTGACGATTCGTTTTAAGTTTTTCTTTATGAAATGTCTTGAAGTTGATGTCATTAAAACGTTCTTGCTCAACTTATTAACCACTAAATCTACTTATTTCCTAAATAGGTATCATGAATTACTATTCATTGTCGATACATGTCAAGCTGAATCAATGGGCAAGTTGTTTTATTCGCCTAATGTAGTAGCCATCGGTAGCAGTGCTATAGGAGAAGAATCATTATCTGTGAGTTCAAGTTGATATTTCTCAAGGCAATACTTGAAGCTTTATTCTTTATGCACGGTCTACTTGTCATTCATTTTGATATGAATTGTCTCAGTCAACACTGAGAATATTAGCTTGCTTCAACTCATATTTGCATCCACTTTTCATTGATTAAGATTTACTGACTTTCTTATTACACAGTTCTCTTTTAACTACCACCCTACCGAATGTTTTGAAATGTAATCCATCATTTTGACTTAGGTGGTTAGAAGGTTCCGAAATATTTTCCCTAATTCAGTCGTACAAATGATCTATATACGTTTTTCTGTGTAGTTAAATTGGGTTTTTAGTGACCATAAATCTGACTCCGATTTTATCCTATGCTGATTGCTATCTAAATATACATGTCGCCAATCCTCGTATGTTATCATCGACTTAAGTCAAGTTGGCGAATAATGAATTTTTGAATACGTATATTTCATACAATCGTTGATTTGATCAGCCAATAAAGGAGACGGAGCGAAGAGGAGAGAGAGAAGCTAAACTAAATGACGCGCAGTGGAGAAGGCGAGTGAGCCAACTCGATTTGTAATCCAACAAAAAATTAAGTTACAGACGAGATGAGTAAGATAAGAAATGTACACACATTAATACGCTCATATAAAAACAGTCAAGGTTGATAAACCGATAAGTGACAGGGTAAAAATGCGGCTTGAAAAGAATGAATAGATCGATCTGTCTAGAGGCTAGAATAACCTATGTGGACTTGACATAGTACCAGCCTCTACATGTTTATGAAATGAAATGGCTGCAAGACGTACCGAACCGAAACTAAGGACAAAAAACTGACTGTACCAAAAATGCTAATGAAAAACGATGTCTAGATACAACTAGGGTGCATCATAGATGTATTTCCTGCTATGAATTCTACGATATATTAGTATTCCTCCAAACAAACAATACTCTAAACTAACAAAAGTTAGAAACTCAATATTAAAGGAAAAACAACGAAATTGTGCAAATGTAGTGACTGTAATGCTGTATATGTGGGTGGAACAACTACAGCAGAATTTGAGTGTGAAGCATACTCCTTAATCCTCAAATGACTTGAAGGAAAGTTAAGAAACAAGTCAGTGATACCGTTAGATTTAGTTGAGTCCGGATGTATAATTTATTTCAGTGACACTAGAGTCCTACATATATAGGCAAATCCAAACAATATTTATATGAGAGATGGAATACAATCAACGTAATTTTACACCTTATTTTATTCATCTCTTGGACAATAACAATTACTTTCACTTGTTCTAATCGATTGGTTAGTCCGAATATACAATAAAAAATCAACGTGGTCGACGCAATAACATCAACATTTATTTCTTTATTTATCCTCAAATGATGAGTGGTGTGACATGTTTGGTTAATATCATCTGTCAAATGATCTAATTTCAATAAATTTCTAATTTGAGACGACATGGTCGATGCATTTTTCTGGCGTCAGATCTAAATATACTTGTTATATCTTAACACAATTTCTCCACTTTTAATACCAAATATAGACATAAGCGAACAATATTTTTTTCGATTAGATCCTCATCTGGCTTTACTCTAATATACAGTAATATTTATATGCATATATAAAATTATTAGACCAATCAAGGTAGTTTATAAGTCAACGATAACATAATAAGTGAAACGTGAAAAGTACAAATTGATGGTGTGACAACAGGTGCATTAGTTTTGATAAGAATAATAAAGGTTCGAACCAATGTTACATAATCGGAAATAGGTCAATGATTAGGAAAATATAGAAACTGAGATAACAATTATAAAATTATAAGAAATGTTCAGATAATTGGACCATGAAACGTATAGTTGAGAGAAAATAAAGTGGTAGGAGGGGGTGATGAAAAATAATAAACGAAGAGAAAGTTAGAAAAAGAATAAATAAATTCATTTATTACTTAAGGCCAAGGGAGAGATAAGGGCGTTACAAATTTCTTCTGAACACAAAGACTTGGTTTGTTGGCTCGGATTCCTATAGCTTCTGCTATGTGTAAGAGACGAGATCGAACACCATAAGGAAAACTAGTGGGAATACGATAAATAACTTTGAACGACTTGTTTCTGTCCACTATATGACCGCTATCGATCAAGTATGATAGAACCGAGCTGCGTATTGTTTTGACGTAACCCCTTCCTAACCACGAAGGGAGATGTTCACTAACTCGTTGGTTCAGTTGCCTGGTAGTGCGCCCAATATAGCTTTCTCCACAGGAGTAGCTGAGTTCGTAGATACACATAGAAGTGGCATAACCAGGTAACTTATCCTTCAATTGTGGAATCACCATCGATCGGGTCGAATACGATAGGCAGAGGTTGGCAGCATTAAATGTTCTCTTTACTGCCCTAGTCAATCTATCCCGTAATACATCGCTAGCTAAATCACCATTGAATTGCAGCTTTAAGAAAAGCGGTTTCTTATTAGCCGTCAGAGTCACAATTTTCTTGTTTTGTACCCGCAAGTGTTTCTTCAGGAAACCCAGTGGATACCCCAATTCAATCAAAATATTATGAATGTGTTGTAATTCCCTATCAATTGTGTCGACTGAGCATATCTTAAGAGCTCTAATTGCAAGACATTTGACTAAGTTTCTCTTATAATGAAGAGGCACAAAGCTTAAAAAATGTGTGTATTGGCTTGGAGAAGAACCTTTTCTATACACACCTCTGCTGATAGAACCATTTTCTTTCCTACTTAACAAAACGTCCAGGAAATTTAGTTTGTTATCTATTTCCTCTTCACATGTAAATTTAATAGCAGGATGTTTGTTATTAAATAGTTCCAGTAGTTGTTCTTTTCTAATGTTCTGATCGGCAATGATGAAGGTGTCATCAACGTAACGACAGTAGAAGTCCAGTTTATTGATAACCTCTTTGAGAGGTCCGTTTTCTAGTTTCGCCAGAAAAAAATCCGCAAGGATGGGACCTAGTGGTGAACCCATCGCTATACCATCAATTTGTCTATAATATGTGTTATTAAAGACAAAATAGACATTCATTGTGCATTTTAGAAGTAATTCTTTGAGACTAACCTCAGGAATTCCAATATTGATTTGTTTTTCCTGCAGTTGTTGGCACACAAATCGATAGTCTCTGTTAACGGTACATTGGTGAACAGGGAAACAACATCTAAAGATATCATTCGTTTACCATTTAAATTTATATGTTCCACTTTAGAAATGAAATCGAAGACGTCTTTCACGCTTCTGTTGACGACTAATCTGTGTAGGGGGTTTAGGATACGAACTAGCCACTTTGCAGTTTTATGATAAGGCGAATTATACATATCTAAAACTGGGCAAAGAGGAAGACCTGTTTTGTGAACTTTAGGTAAACCATATAGTCGCGGTGTGTTCGATACCGTAGGCTTGAGTGAGTCATGTATGTCCGGAATAAGAATACCTTTATTTTCTTAAATTCCTTCAGTGAGTTAGTCAGCAATTTTTCTACCTTCGTATTTAAGTCCTTAACGTCGTTGGGTTTCTGAAATTTTGTCGGATCATTCAAAATCACGTTCATTTTATTAATGTAATCAGCTTTGTTCATAAGAACTAGCCCGCCTCCTTTGTCCGGCTTGCTTATGATTATAGTACTGTCGTTTCTAAGTACTTGTAAAGCATCTCGGTGCTGTTTGGTAAGTGGGGTTTTCACTGTACATTTACTATTTTTGTATTGTTGGCAGATGTCTACCAACGTGGTCTTAAACCTGGTTAGTTCATCAGGAGAAGTCGGCACCAAATCTGATGTTTGTGAAATAAATTTTTAAACTGTACGTCTATATCTAGTTGGTTTATTTTATTACTGTAGTCACAAAACCTAGGGCCGAGTGACAATGCCTCTAAATGCAATGTGTCTAATGTAACACTAGATTAATTATGAACGTACCGCTCAGGGTCCATAGGAAATTTTCTTTCAGGTTTATGAGGTTCCAGTGACTGAATTAGCTTATTCCCTAGTGTTACATTAGAAACATTGCATTTAGAGGCATTGTCACTCGGCCCTAGGTTTTGTGACTACAGTAATAAAATAAACCAACTAGATATAGACGTACAGTTTAAAAATTTATTTCACAAACATCAGATTTGGTGCCGACTTCTCCTGATGAACTAACCAGGTTTAAGACCACGTTGGTAGACATCTGCCAACAATACAAAAATAGTAAATGTACAGTGAAAACCCCACTTACCAAACAGCACCGAGATGCTTTACAAGTACTTAGAAACGACAGTACTATAATCATAAGCAAGCCGGACAAAGGAGGCGGGCTAGTTCTTATGAACAAAGCTGATTACATTAATAAAATGAACGTGATTTTGAATGATCCGACAAAATTTCAGAAACCCAACGACGTTAAGGACTTAAATACGAAGGTAGAAAAATTGCTGACTAACTCACTGAAGGAATTTAAGAAAATAAAGGTATTCTTATTCCGGACATACATGACTCACTCAAGCCTACGGTATCGAACACACCGCGACTATATGGTTTACCTAAAGTTCACAAAACAGGTCTTCCTCTTTGCCCAGTTTTAGATATGTATAATTCGCCTTATCATAAAACTGCAAAGTGGCTAGTTCGTATCCTAAACCCCCTACACAGATTAGTCGTCAACAGAAGCGTGAAAGACGTCTTCGATTTCATTTCTAAAGTGGAACATATAAATTTAAATGGTAAACGAATGATATCTTTAGATGTTGTTTCCCTGTTCACCAATGTACCGTTAACAGAGACTATCGATTTGTGTGCCAACAACTGCAGGAAAAACAAATCAATATTGGAATTCCTGAGGTTAGTCTCAAAGAATTACTTCTAAAATGCACAATGAATGTCTATTTTGTCTTTAATAACACATATTATAGACAAATTGATGGTATAGCGATGGGTTCACCACTAGGTCCCATCCTTGCGGATTTTTTTCTGGCGAAACTAGAAAACGGACCTCTCAAAGAGGTTATCAATAAACTGGACTTCTACTGTCGTTACGTTGATGACACCTTCATCATTGCCGATCAGAACATTAGAAAAGAACAACTACTGGAACTATTTAATAACAAACATCCTGCTATTAAATTTACATGTGAAGAGGAAATAGATAACAAACTAAATTTCCTGGACGTTTTGTTAAGTAGGAAAGAAAATGGTTCTATCAGCAGAGGTGTGTATAGAAAAGGTTCTTCTCCAAGCCAATACACACATTTTTTAAGCTTTGTGCCTCTTCATTATAAGAGAAACTTAGTCAAATGTCTTGCAATTAGAGCTCTTAAGATATGCTCAGTCGACACAATTGATAGGGAATTACAACACATTCATAATATTTTGATTGAATTGGGGTATCCACTGGGTTTCCTGAAGAAACACTTGCGGGTACAAAACAAGAAAATTGTGACTCTGACGGCTAATAAGAAACCGCTTTTCTTAAAGCTGCAATTCAATGGTGATTTAGCTAGCGATGTATTACGGGATAGATTGACTAGGGCAGTAAAGAGAACATTTAATGCTGCCAACCTCTGCCTATCGTATTCGACCCGATCGATGGTGATTCCACAATTGAAGGATAAGTTACCTGGTTATGCCACTTCTATGTGTATCTACGAACTCAGCTACTCCTGTGGAGAAAGCTATATTGGGCGCACTACCAGGCAACTGAACCAACGAGTTAGTGAACATCTCCCTTCGTGGTTAGGAAGGGGTTACGTCAAAACAATACGCAGCTCGGTTCTATCATACTTGATCGATAGCGGTCATATAGTGGACAGAAACAAGTCGTTCAAAGTTATTTATCGTATTCCCACTAGTTTTCCTTATGGTGTTCGATCTCGTCTCTTACACATAGCAGAAGCTATAGGAATCCGAGCCAACAAACCAAGTCTTTGTGTTCAGAAGAAATTTGTAACGCCCTTATCTCTCCCTTGGCCTTAAGTAATAAATGAATTTATTTATTCTTTTTCTAACTTTCTCTTCGTTTATTATTTTTCATCACCCCCTCCTACCACTTTATTTTCTCTCAACTATACGTTTCATGGTCCAATTATCTGAACATTTCTTATAATTTTATAATTGTTATCTCAGTTTCTATATTTTCCTAATCATTGACCTATTTCCGATTATGTAACATTGGTTCGAACCTTTATTATTCTTATCAAAACTAATGCACCTGTTGTCACACCATCAATTTGTACTTTTCACGTTTCACTTATTATGTTATCGTTGACTTATAAACTACCTTGATTGGTCTAATAATTTTATATATGCATATAAATATTACTGTATATTAGAGTAAAGCCAGATGAGGATCTAATCGAAAAAATATTGTTTGCTTTTGTGTATGTTGTTCTAAATTTACAATATGGGAATATTTCAAATACAAAATATCTCATACACACTACAATAAATCTTCATTTCAAAATTATTAACGTGATTAAATAACTTGTTTATTATAAATTTGACCTGTGAAGTTTTTATATTGGACAATTTTGATGTTTGGTTATATTTCCTACAAAAGTCTGGGTCAGATTGCCAAACAAAACGTTGAATTTACTTAAAGTTCAATCTCTGAGATTTTCACAAGTATAATTTTCCTCCTTAATTGATTGGTTAGTAGATATTTTGAGTTTCTCTCTGAACTCCGAAGTACATAGCGTGTATGTACTTGTTACACATCTTGTTTAATTTGTTTTAGATTTCTGAATTTATTGGTTAATTTGCAATTGTTTTGTCATACAGTTGTGATGTTTCTCACTTATTCAATCCAATTAGTGTTAACAATATTGTCTATGCATCAGTTTTCTCGACTAAATTCGTAAGAATTTTTCATATATTTCCCTCCATACAGACTGCTCGACTGGATGTGGTTGGAATTAAGATTTCCCTTCAAATTTAATCATATTTGTATGACAACTAATTTTATATTGTGCAAAAATATTCTCACTTTTATCATTCAGCTCCATTCGGATCGCGAAATTGGGACCTATGTTTCTGATCGATATTCTTACTATGCGTTTCAGTTTTTGGAGTCTGTTACTCCTTCGAGCAAAAGAACATTGTATGATTTTGTAAGTTTTAATTATACCATAGCTTTTTGTTTCTGTACTGAAAAGTTCGTATAGCTTTATGTGCTAGATTAAACAATCGACAGTAAAATTGATGGTTATCTTACTATTCCTTATAATTCACCTTGTTAGTTGTCACTGTTATCACTAAAACGTAAGGGCTGGTGAAACTTTTCAGCATAATGAATGTTATACTCATAAAATGACTAGTAATGTAGTTAGTAGCTTGATTTTTACTGAAACGTCAAAAATTGATAGGAATAATAAACTGCAAAACCGAGTTTATATCCTGACAAGACAGATTTTGATATTGAAGTTTGATAAGAAAAACAGGTGAATAGAAATAAGTTGTGTTGGGGGGATTGGAAGTTAGCTTGGTGATTGAAAATGAGTGAGGCGATTTAATTGCTTCATTTGTAAACACAGTTCTGCTTGGTTTATATGTGTTGTGGAAGTTTCAGCAGTTCAAATAAGGCAACAGGTCTGTGTTTTTAGTAGATTTCTACTCACTACGTTAATAACTTAGAATTTTTAATTCAGCCTCATGGAATGACCATTGTTCACAAAGTGTCCAGTCCTTGTCAGTCAGTCAACTACAACGTAGGACCAGGCACATATATACATCGGTCCAAGTTGCCATACGTCATTAACACAACAAGATGGACACCGGATTCATAAAAGTAGTTAATTCAGAGGTGGTAATATATAAAAGAAAGATTGCAATAAGGATATAGTACAGGAAGAAATAATTAGTTCGTAGAAAGAAGAATATAAAGTGGTTTTAATTTTAGTTTAAGAGAAGATAGTGTATACACCTACGCCACTGTGATCGATTCTGAGCCATGTCACCAATAGTCTCCAACCATTGGTTACGATAGTCACGCGGACCCCAACCAAGTAGTCTGCATCTACCAACATGGCTCAGACCAAAAGTTCGTGTCTTCAAGCACTGATAGCACGTTTTGGTTTGACCGCCCCTAACTTTCTTCCAACCATCTCCAACACCGGTTAGCATTGCACGTCATGGTAATCGGTGTTCAGGCATACGCAACACGTGGCCCAACCATCTCAGTTGATGAAGATTCACAACCTCATCAACTGATTTACCATCATTCCCTAGTGATTTCCAGTCGTTGAGTGCAGTATGGATCTGTTTCAATATACAGATAGTGTTCTTAAATCTACAGCGATTACGATGATAAATATAATTTCTAACTTTTCAGCTCCCTTAACTATCCAACGCCTATCTGGAGATTGAAGACGTAAAATCCAGGCAAATCAACCTTGTTTTAAACACTTCAACAAATGTATTCACTAAATTCCATCCAGTTATTTTTATTGCTGTTAATTTCATATTCAACTTTTGCTCTTCATCTTGTAAGTTGTGTTTCTCTGTGCCGAAGCATGATATGGTAGCATATATGATAATTCCTACATTTTTTAAGAGCATTATCAACAACTGTCGTTTTCCGCGACACGTGATTGTTGTTCGAGATTAAAGAAAGAGCCTATATATAATTAAAACAATTTGAATGAATTGTTCTTGAACAGTTTAAGCCTTTTCAATATTTTGACAGTGGTTGTGACCAATGACTGGATGTCTCATTGGGTAAATTACAGTGTTGGTAATGAATCCACAATTATTTTCTCATTTATTTCGATCATATAATTACTGAGTGTTTATTTTATTTCTGTCTAATGTTGCTTCCTGATTTTTCGTTGTATCTTTACAACATGGAGTAACTTTGATCGATACATTCTTGTGATAGACTCTATAGACTTATTAGCTTTTTCACAAGCGGATTATGTACCTCAGTAAACGTACTTGAGTCAGTTATTTAGCTATACAAATTAATTGCATTGTGTTTTTACTTCTTTGTTTGTAACCTAGTCCCAGTTATGCTCTTTCTCATTATGTCAATCAACTGTTATCACTCGATCTGATTTATTTAGACGTGATATACGTCGCGTACTTGTTACAGACTTTTTTGGTAGCGTGCGTCATATAATCCCTGGACCAGTTATAGAAACTAACAATTCCACTTTGTATGAAAACAATACATTGTAAGTTCACTGAACATGCACATAATTATTTTTTTGATTGAGAACAAAGTGTATTTGAGAATGGACAGTTTGAAAATGTAAATCCACTTTTCCTAGTCTAGTTCAACTCATTTTGTATAAGGATAAAAAAAACTTGCTTTATGTAGTGTAATTATATTTGCACTGCTCGACTACTTAATAATCTTTTAAACACAGTTATTTAAATACAGCACAGTTAATAGCTTGATATCATCTATCTATATAAAGCAGGCCTAATAACTTTGAAAGAACTTGTTCGAATTCTATAATGATTCTGTTTATTTTAACAGAAGTAATCTCTTAGTAATTGAATTATTCATCATCTTATCAGTATACGTCACATGTTCAACCTCCATTCTACCTACTTTAGTTAAAGCAGCTGCGTTGGTATTACTATATCGGTGGTTGAAATTCATGACCCCTTTTGACGGAAAATTAAGAGTATGGTTATAAATCTTTAAAAATAAGCTACTGGTTAGCCTGAATTTCTAAGTGTATCGTTATGTGATTAGGAGTGCATTTTGTATCTCCTGTATGAATTATTTAAAACGACTGTTAATAATACACTATTGTAATACGACTAGTTATAATCCATATAAACTAGTAATCACTTTGCAATAAAAACTCATTAACCGTTCAGCACTAATTAAATGTATAGTTTACATTCTTGGTCTTGGTGTCCGGAACCTCGCGGTATAATAGTGGTGTAAACATGATCAATATGCGTATTGAGTTGATTCTACGTGTGAAGCATCTTGATAACAGGAATATCGTTCAAATACTCGTCTCTCTTTATGAATAATATAGTCTAACAATCTGCAAAAGTCTCTCCAATTCTTTTTTGCCTATGTTCTTCATTACTTCACTTTTTCGATGGAAGTGTAGTAAAAATGAGTTTGTTCACCTAACATCCAAATAGTGATTCAAATGTGTTGGTCGACACCAACGGATTACTGAGTTTATGTTACACAGCCTGAAAGTAATAACTCATCTTGTTCATTTTCAAAAGTGGTTGTACTATAAACAGAATAAAGATTTAGGTAAAATGTCATTGGATGTTGTAATTCAGTCGGTTATTAATGTAGTTGGTTCCATAAGGTCTAAAACCAAAATTTTCGTGTTGTGATTTCAATATACCTGAGATACCCGACAAATAGGGCTTCTTGTGTGACGGAGATAATTCGTTCTCATGTTTGTATTAATATCAACGTTAAGTGATTTTCTAATGTAGGAAAACTATATTCAGTGAAATGAGTGTATTTCTACATTCGTGGGCTGATGAAGCGCAATAGGTATCTGTGATACTAGTAACATTTCCACGCTAGTTATTAAAGATGTACATGTTTAAATTTGTAAAACCTTAAAAGGGTGTTTTAAACGGTTATTTTCTCGAAGATTCCTTGTTTTAGTTTTTGTGTACTTTGTCTACGTATCCAATTTTCTTTTTCATTGCTACAATGTCCTTCTATTTTTCTATATTTTATGATTATAGAATTAAACACTGAATCGAAGCATTTTTTGTACGTTACACCTCTCAACGTGTATCTGTGATACTAGTTTTTTAATTAATATATTATTGTACAATCCGTTAGACCGTTTACATACATTTTTTCTGTAATAGTTGTTTTAAAATTTATTGAATTTCGTTAATATACCATCATAACTTTTGTAATACCACAGGGAAGAGCTAAGTTTGTCAATTGCTATAAATTATCAGCCTATTCATGCTATCAGTAGAGCTTTATGGTTTGACCTTATCAAAGTAGTTTCCTAAGTGATAGTGTAATTCCGTTCGGTGCAGAACTACATGACTGAGATATGAAGTTCTTTGTGACAATATTTTCAGATTGAGGAATATCACCATGTTATTCCAGTTATTGTTTACGGTAAAATGGCGTGGATGCTAACTGTTTTATGAACTTGTTTATCTACAGGGTATGATTAAACAGTTATTTGAGTCCCACTTAACCATGTGCAGCATCATGCTTGTCACTGTTATCATTTTCTATGAGAGTGCATTATTTTAACGTTAATAGCATCCAACTTCAGGAATGATGTCGTTATACATTACCCTTGTAATGTATGACAACCCAAACACATCGAAACCACTCATCGCCATGCAGCATAAGACCAGAAGTCGACTACAAATAACTTGCGGTTAAGTATTTTCCACACAACCGGTGACACTAGGCATAAACAGCAGCAGAAGATTTGTGCATGTGCGTTTTAAATGATGAACCAAACAGAACGAACATTACTCATTATTCCGAATAATCGTTGTGAGAGATAGGTTTAATAATATGATACGAAGTCCTGTTTACCGTTGGTCTGACTGCTAATTACAATCGTTAATATAGCTCAAAAACGAATAATATATAGTATGACAAAGATACAGGCGTTAGGTAGAAAAATAGTAATCGATAAGTGCATAATCGTAGAGATACGAGGGCATCAAAATGAGACATATTTATGCTAAGGATCAGGATCTCTTATAAAGACGGCTGTTGCGAAGGTGAAAATAACTCAACAGTCACATGCTGTCTGAGTCATTAGGGTCGGTTTAAAGTTAGGTTGAATATGTGAGTGCTTATGGGTAGTAAACACTACAGCGGTTTGTCTTCGTCCAATTCTTCCGCTTATTAGCTTTGTTCGTGAGCACGGTTTAACTCATGAGGACTGTCTACGTCTTGGAGAGAACTTCGGGACTGCCATTCTTTTCAAGCAGTTTTACTTTCAAAATAAGATTTCATCCATCCTGTCCGATACACAGAACAATTATAGGACAGTATTTTCATTTGACACTTCCCGTCGCAAAAGACTGAAAAGTTCCGTATCAGAGAGGAATGCAAACTGAAAGAGGCAAAACGATTTATATTTATTGCAAAGGCTAGTACCACAAAGTTTGCACGAATTTGACACCTGCGTCTTTCAACCGGTTTAGTAAAATCGGGATCCTACAATGTGTTTGACGTAACTCTAGTTGCTACTCCAACGAAATTTGTCGAATAGGCACAGGTCGTAAGCAAGAACCTACATAACGACATAAGAGAAAGTCCTACCACCCTTAAATGTGGTCGAGATACTGAAGACCGATCACAGTGACAGGTCAGTTATTTTTCATAGGGTCAAAGAGGGTGAAAGCTCTGAATCGAAAACTCGTTTTGAGCATGATATTGGGTTGATAAAAGAAGTACTAAATCAACCTATGCTTCAAAATATATCCGGAGTCACCTAGCTAAGGTGTATAGATTAGATAGTCAAGTAAACTTAAAACCAAATCATACCAGGCTGCTTAAAGTAGTAATCAAATCTCTTAATGAACGGAAATTGTTTTTAGAGAATGGACATAAATTAAAGGGTTCAGGAGTTTTCGTCTGTAAGGTCTTGCCTCTGGCAGACTGTGTAAAAAGACGGGAAGCCGAAAAAGAACTACAACTTAGGTTAGACGCTGGCGAAAAGGACATAAAAGCTGTAAACTTTCGGGTTGCAAGTCTTCGACAGAGAATGATGCCAAAGCCACTCTGGGTGAAGCACGAAGCCAATTAAATAGGCTTCGGGTCTGTTACACCAATACCAGAAGCTTGCTCAATAAGCGATCGGAACTGGGTGTACAGATTGACTCTAAAAAGCTAGACATAATCGCAGCAACAGGAACTTGGCAGACGCATCCTATAGATAGAATGGAACCTGATTTTAAGGGTTTTGCGTTAGTAGAAATAGATAGAATCCGGAAGCGTATAGGAGGGGCAGTAGTTCTATTAATTAGGAATGATTTCCAATTTGTTATTATCGACAGTGCAGCCTGTAACAGCTTAGGTTGATTGGTTCAGAGTTGACCTCATACAACTAAGCATATGTCAAAACAGTATAGTTTAAGTATTCATTCCATTCCTTATTTTGTATAGACCGTATATTTTATATTATCTTATGTTGAATGTTGAGAGTCTCTGTTAGTCTGAACAGGTATTCCGCGATTCTGTTTGACTTCACGATAATCTTAACAAAAACCTATTCACTACTAGTCTGTTTTCTTCTATCAGTAGCACGAGGGTTACTTACAGGCACGAAACTGGTGAGCCTGACGTGAAAGAGTAGTGTAATGGAATTAAGCCCTAATGACACAATCCACAAGGCTGAACACGAGACAATCGGGTAAATAGATATTCAACGTCTAACACGGAGAAAAACCTAACGATGAGGAGGGCGGGGACAAGGAGTTGAATTGATTCGGGTTGATCGGATGGCATGGGTCGGCCCTGCAAGTGTGGTCCCTGTTGAATGTTACCTTATGTCCTTTCTTCATATCAAATATATTGCTCTATTTCTAGCCTTCGCATGTTCTCCATCATGTATTGGTGATTGTTACGATGCAGTGAGTTGGTGTAGACGACAATGTGACATCCACATAAGAACTTATAGATTAGGCAGTTATATCATGACAAATCTACAATTTTAGGATTAAGTCCATCGTTAGCGCATTACCAATATCATAGTAAACCATCTTTCTACAAGCCCATGGGAGTCGAATAAGTGAATTAGCTAGTTGTCGTTTGAAATGCAAGGGACAAGAGCTGCTGAGTACTCTGGTCTATCACAGTCCAGGCTGTGAGGTATATGGTTCTTGCTAAACAGTCTCAATACTTGGTTAAAAAGTGATCGATGTCTAATCCTATGGTTCTTTAATGCACCCACGGTAGACTTGGAAAATCTGCGAACTGAATTGTTAGACAATTCATTTGAGCAAGAACCAGTTGATGTGGTTATCACATGTGCCCTGGTGCAACATGTAAAAGAATCGACTAGGTACGACCGGGACACTGAATCATCCTTACTAGATCTTATATTGATTCATTATGGGGGTGAGGTTACGAATCTCGATTATATGCCACCCCTAGGTAAAAGTGATCAAGCAGTTCCAACTCTTAACTTCCATATAATCGTCAAAAACGAACACGCATCAGATGAATGCAGACCTAACATCTGGAAAGTAAAAACATACGAGATATAATACATTTATCATCGTCAGTAGATTGGACAATACAGCCAGAATCCTCGATTGAAATGGTTTAGGATGTCTTTCGAAATTTGTACGGAAAAGTTATTTCACCCCACATCCCTTGGATCTTAGCAAGGGGGCCGAGAATCTCTCCACCATGGTTCAGTAGGGAGGTTCACATCCTTCTCCGTAAAAGAAGAAAAATGTGGGACAGATTTAGATTACTGGGGACTGATGAGACAAAATCCCAGTATCGAAAAGCTCGGGATACCTATGCCTCGACTCTCCGTATGTCTAGAAAGTTGTACGAAGAGGAAATCGTTAAGGAATCCATAGAATGTCTTAAACGCTTGTATTCCTATATAAACCAAAGGACAAAAAGAAGAGGAAATATTCCTGCACCACGGGGAGACAATACTGCCGCATCACTAGTGGACGACGACTTTGGGAAGGGTCAGGTTTTCTCAAACTACTTTAGCAATGTATATACCATAGGACCCAGGGTCGTTCACCAAAAGTCTGAGAGAACGCCACAGTAAGTCTTGTCTTAAAAACAGTTCCGAAACAAAAATCCGAGGATTACCGACCTGTGAGGTTAACTGATGTGATTGTTAAAATCTTAGAAAAGATTATACGGAAGGAGCTGTTTACGTATCTCGACGAAAACCGGATCCTTTCGTAAAAACAGCATGATTTCAGAATAGGTTATTCTTGCCTCCCTAAATTATTAGTGGTTTGTGAAAGCTGGTGAGCTCTTAAGAATCAAAAGTTACCTGGAGATGTAACCTACATTGACTTCAGCATAGCTTTTGACAAGGTTCCGCACAACTGGCTGTTATATAAATTAAGAAATGTCGGGGTTGGAGGCAATATATTGATGTGGATAAAAGACTTCTTAGTTGGGCGTCAACAAAGAGTTCGGGTGAACTCAAAGTTATCTAGCTGGGAAACTGTGCTTAGTGGAGTGTCCTAGGGTACAGTTTTGGGGCCAATGCTATTCCTCTTGTATGTAAATGACCTTCCGCGTCTCCTATCACCATCGGTTTTGCTATATGCTGACGATGTCAAGGTATGGAGAGCTGTATGAAGTAAGGGTGATAGCTTAGAACTGCAAAATGAACTGGAGAAATTACCTGAATGGTACCAAACCCAGTAGTTGCCGACAAAAACTTCCAGGTGTATTGTGGTGCATATCGGTCATCAAGTTACAGATACATACACGATGAATAACACTGAGCCACATGTTGTTGAGAAACAATGACTTAGGAGTCATCACTAGACAAGCGGCTAGCCCATGCTTAAAAAAGACACTGAAATATTGGAAAAGGTTCAGAGAATGGCAACAAAGCTGATTCCCGGAATAGCGAAGCTCCCGTATGATGCGTGACTGGCCAAGCTAAACCTATTCCCGTTGTTGTATCGTAGAATTAGAGGCGACTTGATTACAGATTTCAAATTGCTTATTGCCAAATTTGCACCTGATATTCCCTCATTTTGCTTATCTTACAAAACAGAGAGTTTACGAGGACACTCCAAAAAAGTTCCCAAGCCGAGAACAAATTACTTGCCAGCTGACTTTCGACTTTCCCATCGAATCGTCGAATAGAATGCATTAACTTAGTACGTGGTTGAGGCTCCATCCGTCGACTCTTTCAAAAGAAAGCTGGATCAAATGAGAGATAATCATTACCAGAACCAACACAGCCCATCATTTCCTGTTTTTTCCAAACCGAAACTGAAACTGCCAGGACGTTTTTATTGTACATTGAGCGCTGAATACTGGCACTGTTCTAAATCTTGGCGTTAACTTTCTACAAATTACTGCGCGATGAACGTTGATGAACCGAAATCAATGGTAATGTTAATTATTCCCATTTCACGAATTATCGAATTATTGTTTACTTCTATGATATGTCAATGCAGATTTTCTCCGCTTAAGTCATGAAATAGTACCACTTGTCATATCGTAGGACGCGAGGTGACCTTATACTGGCATTTCGTATCTTTAATTATGATTTGGGTGTTAACACGTTTTATCTGTTTGCTCCCTTCAACACTAATAATCTTTGAGGTCATGGCAAGAAGTTTCATAAGCCGCGATCTAATAAACGTTTTCTCATCGAGTAGTCAATGAGTGGAACCCCTTACCCGAACATGGGGTATCAGCCCCATCAGTGAATACTTTCGGGGAGAAACTGGATCTCCACTGGAAGGCATTTTGTCAGGATCAACACAGGTTCACCAACCTACTATCCTTATTACTGAATACTGAAGACTGAGCAAACTAATATTAGTTTGCTCATCGAATTATGAGAGCGCTGTTATATCAGACGAAATTGATATGATAAATTACGTCAATGTTAAAAGTTGACTGCGTTATATTGAATATTTGAATTAGGCTGTGGGTTTGATAGGATAGGAAATGTAGTTTTCATTTGGTGAATGTAAACTCTCGGTTTCATGAATGCATTTGTCGTCATAAATACGCAGACAGGGTGTTAGAGTTAGCAGTGTTTGGGTTATATTACGAACTAGAAACACCAGAAATAACGCAATTTAGGGCAAATAGAAGCAGGTGGACACAAACGAACGTATGGTATTCAGAATTTTAAACCAGGCAGTTCTCAAGTACAAAGGAATCACTAATTCATACAAACACTACACAAGAACGAGTTGCTTTTATGCCCTACTCAAGTTTGTGTAATGCGACTACTGCTTCTGGTGTCAGGCGATAATTAAACCTCCACACTTTGATAATATAGGAGGTAACATAACTGATATCATTTACTTATTAGAGTAATAACGCTAGTTAAAAATGTGTACTTGAGGCACTTTAATAGGCTCTCTTTTTCGGTCACACAACTGAATTTTATCTCGTAGTCTTTGTTGGTATTAAAGTAATCATTTAACCGAAGGTAAGCTACGATTGATTTTCATATTGTCTAAAACAACAGTCGTTGTGTTGAACTTCTTCAAAAACCTTGCATCGATCAACAAAGGCTACGTCTATGGATATTCTTTGAGCCGTCGGTACACACTAACTTACTGGTGAAATCAATAAGTTCGTAGGACATAAGCAACCTATTTTTAATCTGCACTTCTTCACAGAGAGGACTGGGTTTTCTTCCAGATATTTTAACAACTCGTTGTGGACAGTGTCTTTTAGAATTCTGACAAGTACGTTAGCCAATTGTACAGGTAGATTGTTTTCAGATTTGTGCATCAACTATAGTATTGTGGCCCTTTTCCAGTAGCTTTATATTCTACAGATAGATTAAAACATATTTGGTGGATTTGTAATGAAGAGTGCAAGTTTATTTAATGTCCTTTGGTATTTCTTAATAGGTCAAAGGTATTGAGATCTACAACGATCACAATAATTAGATCACGGATGATATGATTTGTCTGTTTTTGCCAGAAAAGCGTCTCTACTATATATATATATATATGATGTAGTCCAAGAGTACATGTTTAATATAGTCGTCTTCCACTAGTGATTTTATTGTACCGTTATACAATGCCGATTTTCCACCAAACCTCTTTACACTTCAATTCTAGTGCGAAAACAAGTGTTTAAACATTCTATAAAATCCCCAACAAGCTTTTATCCATACTCTCCCTTGGAGTAACATAGGGCATTTTTGGCTTCTCAATTAGGGTAATTTGGCTCATTAACTCTTATTAGCCTGAGTTCTCTCCTTATTCTTCTTCTTTTACGGAGAAAGTTGTGACTCTTTTTGTTTAACCGTGAAGAAGAGCTTCTTGATTAATGTGTCGTCACCAAGGTAATCTTTCATCAAAAATTAGTCTTACATCACACTTATACTCCAATATAGTCTGGTAGGTTAAAGGTTATTGTTATATTTTAAACACTGAATTGTGTTGTGAGCCATGTAATAGTGTGAAGCTCTATATTTGTCTTTTATATTTGTGTGGGCTTAAATATTTTATCTCTTGATGGCTCAAACAAAGCGTCATTTCGTTCATCAATAACTAGGAATTTTCTCCTCACTTAACACTTAGTGCGACAAAAGTACCTATTAAAATGCTTCAAAAGTGATTTAAGAGACCAAACACTCAGTGTGAGAAATCGTGTAGGCTTTCTGCCTCTGCTTCTGTTATTTTTTGAAGTAATTCTAAGAAACGTAAAGGTCTGATTTTAATTGACTTATGAATCCAGAATTGAACATCATATATATTGAAATGCAAAATGTAACTATGGACAGAAAGTTTTTATGCACTCTAATACTCATACCTAAAATGTTTATCCCTGTCGCCATTTTTGTTTATTCTTTTATTTTTCACCTCGTTTTTTCATTAAAAAGTTTCATAAGGTGAACCAATCCATTAACATGTGAAATGTTTGTAACTGTATTCTCCATTTTATCACATATAAGTCCTCATCTTGCTTGTCCGAATATATCTAGTACATCTCGAAATTTTTTCCACTGCTTCCACAGTTCACCTCTCCATTATACCAGTTTCTCAAAAAACGAATCATGTGAATATATATTGGATGATTAAGGCTTGTATTGGGTGGAGTTTTCTTACTGGTTTACTTCCTTGGACCAAATTATTTGCACACCATTATACTCAAGTTTTTCTAAGTATAAAAGTCAGCTAGAAAATAATTACAATGACGTTTTGGCAGAAGCGCTCCACTTTCGAGCAGTAGGTTACTGGTCTGAATTCAACCCCACCAAAATTAGTTTGAGCAGCCCTGTAGTATTACTAGTCAGCACGAAAGTGGGTGGTTCAAAGGTGAGCACATGGATATGTATTTGATAAGTGAGTAGAACCAAAGTCTGTCCTATAATATAAAATACATGAGGCTTTATGCATAAATGTTTTCATCACAGTTGCCTGAATTTCGATAATGGGCTTATAAACGCTTGCTATGAATAAACGGAGACAGCTGACCAAGGCCGGATGTCGCACACTTTTTATATTGATAAATATTGCCAACAAATGACAATCTCCCATTATTAACATATTTTGAAATAATTATTACAATCCCTCACTTTTTGTAGAACGCTTAAAGAGCCTTACTGATTTAGATGCAAAATCACACATAAAATCTTAAAGACTTATTAGTCTTTGAATTGCGCGTGCATTTTTTAGTTTAACAAACTAATCTAAAGCTATGATGATAAGATTTTAACTGAGTCACGTCAACGAATTTTCGAAATCTGGCATCGCGTTCGAAGTGATGCACTACTGAAAGGTTTGATTAAATGTTTTTACGGCCAAAACAGATAATAATTGGTGTTTTATGATAATTACCGCAATGCTCACAACGAAAGCTTAGTAGAATTTCTTTAAAAAGTCACGCGATGGTTAGGTTGGTCGTGTTATGCATCTCACGATCAATGTGATTAAAACGTTCCGGAATACACATCACCAGTATATTTCGTATGTACTATCGCGATCTTAACAATACGTGCTTTGGCCAAATATACGTCAGCTGTTAACGATATACTGGTCTCCCTTAAAAGCATTCACTTGAAATGTGCCGTCAGATAAAATTCTGGTAGAAACCACAGGATAAATTCAGTAAAAAAGCATCAAAAGGGAATAATTGTATTGTTTTATAAGCATTGATACTCAATTACTTACCTCTAATCTGAATAAATTTGGTAAATCCGAATTTATAAGGCTGCACACGTTAAATGGGTATTCTCAAAATGTCTTGATAAATCGTGATATGCAAAAGTTTGTGGTTTTAAGACACTTTGAATCACATGAGCCCTTATATGATTTTAAGGATTCCTCATTTTGGTTGCATTTAAGAGATAACTCCCTAAAGAGTGAATGAAGAGTTTAATACTTAGGTTAAACTTAACTGTATGTATACTTCCTGTCATTTTGTGGGCAGTTTGCAACTAAACGTGATCATTATCAGCAACCCACCAATGTATATCGTGTACGCCGTAACATTGTGATATTAACCGTTTAAAATCAAAGCGTTAAGTGAATAATATTTTATGCTGAAATACTTTGTTCGGAAAAGGCTAAGGTTCCTTACTAGTCAAACAAACTTACTGATGGACCCTATATTGACCATATTTGGTCATACACTAGAAATTTGATGGTCGTCTCACTGAATTCAAGTATTCCACGTTTAGTCGGCTTTCAGTAGGTTAAAAGTGAACTGTTTACTTTCTAGTTATACATAAAAAATGACTCACTTTCCAGATATCTGATGCTTACTTTCTACTTTGTGTATCTGGAATTTGTTGATTTGTAAATGCTGACAGTTACAAGAAACTGAATAAATTAGCTTATAGCTCTTGAGATGCTGTTATGATAAAGTAACATAACTCAGTGTGTAAGTGTGATTAATTGCGTTTTGTTGAGTTTTTTTGTGTATATTTGTGTAGAGTATGTACATTTCCTCCGTGTGTTTTAGTACTGTAGATATTTAAACACAGGAATTTTACTGTTTTTTATTTATTATTTGCAAATTGAATTCATTGAAATGTTCACAATGGGGTGTTGTGTAAATTAAATAAACTAACAGGTAATTACTGAGTTACATGATTCCTTTTCTGATTTTCTATCTTTTCATTTGATTCAACATCTGTCAGTTTTGTCGTTTTTTGAACTGTTTTTCTATGTTAAATAAAAAAGGCCACACATATTACAGCCTAGTTAGCTAAATTATGCTAAATCTCCATAATTTTTATGATGTAGACAATAATGATATTTAAAAAAATTAATATCACAGTCTGTTTTTGTAAGTGGGCCATAACATCTGCTCAGCGAAACCTATGGTCGCCAACCCGTATGAGTACATGCATAAATAGGTACGATCTATGCTAGACAATTAATATTCATACCTTACGATTTTTTAAA